GCAGTGAAAAAGGAGCGATAAAAAGAGATTGAACATTTATTAGTTTTTTCCTATATGAATTCAATGGAATTATATTTCAGCCCCCAGAAAAACCACCGGTTACTACAGTTTTCGTTGGTAATATAAATGAAAAATGTGGCAACGAACTGATACGAGCTATTTTGACGGTAGATGTGTTTTATAACAATTGCTTAATTTATGAATAATGTATAATCAATTCAATCAAGAGAAGCAAATGTAGAAGGAAGTAAATATTGGTAGGTCAGAACGCTGCTGTCACAGCAAATTGTTAGGGAGCAAACGCGGCTTTATAAATTCTTGGTGTTACCGAATACAGCGCTTTTTTTATTTCTTATACTCAATTCTTTGATGTTATGAACTCAAAAAAATTAACTATTCAAAAAATCATTGATATAAAGTGTAGTTTCGACCGATTCATTATGAGATACTGAACATGTTTGATTTTCGAAATTTTGAAGGAATGTGGTGCAGTTGCAACATGGAAACGTATTCAAGGTTCAAATGGAAAATTTCAAGCATTTGGTTTTTGTGAATTTGAAAGTCCATTTGGTACAATGCGAGCTTTACGAATTTTACATGATTATCCACTCGCTGAGAAGAAATTAGTGGTCAAAGTTAGTTTTTTTAATAAATAAGGATTTGTACATGGAAACATATATAGGAAATATGCAAGAAGCAGATATGGTCGATAAGTACACTTACAGTAAAATCTTATGCCGTAGATTGGAAGTAAAAAAAGTAGTTAATTGTGTTGAATAAGTTCTCGGATTATGCTTGATTCTGTTTTCATATTATTTCAAATAATCTTATAATTTCTAGATTGATGACAAAACACGAACAATGGTCAAAGATTATGTTGCTAGAAAACGCGCAGAAAAAAATTTACCACCTGAAACTTTAGCATCTGATGAAATGCCAGCAGATGAAGATAATGTTGTTGATGATGAAGAAATACGACAAAAAATCCAGACATTAATTGAAAAGGATGCACCAGATTTGGTGCCCATAGAAGGTTACATTGCTTTTGACCAATGAAAGTCAGGGAATACTTATGGCATGGCTATTTTCTGTGTCCATGATATCGAATTTATTTTATGCTCTTGAATATTGATAGATTTTACATTTTCTTTCACAGTTTCAAGATAAACTGAAGTAATATTTGGATTGAACAAAAAAGAAGTAATAAATTAGATTTTTTTAACTAGAAATGATACATTACAGATGGTGAACTGGCGGAGAAAATTCGGTCCCCAGCTTTGGAAAAGGGAAAGGTGAGTTGTTTTATCAGAAAACATTCATATGACACCTTGTTTTTAATTCCCTTTCATCAATTTTCTGCTAGATATATGATTTTTTAATGTCCTTTTATCGGCCAAAAATAAATCAATGCTGAAACTATATTTTTTAAGGATCGAGTACGAGATCGAAGTGTTGAAAAACGAAAGGAAAGGAAGGTGGGTAATGTTATTCAATTTCACGCAACACTTTTCTATTTTTTAACCGAAGATTTGCAGTATATAATTTAATTAATGTCTCATATTGGAATATAATAATTGAAATAGTGCACACAAGTAGAGTTGTGTGTTTTGATGAAATCTATATAGGCTAAACGCATATTGTTGGGATAACGAAAGTACGCATTTTGGCAACGAGTAAGTTCCATATTTTCCATTTTCCTTTATTTTCTCACAGCAAACTAATCTCTTTGCTCCCAAACCAAAGAATCAGTTCAAAATCTGAGCATAAAAAATTTAAACAAAGCTTTAACAGCAACAGTGAATGCATATCACATGTTTGAAAAATGCTATTCTGTCTGCTTGAAAAGCTCCTTGTGTGTGCGTCAATGTTTGTTTTTCTTTTTCTTTGTGTGTTAAATCCGAAATCTTACCAAACTTTCAAATGCCTAATTTTTTAAAACGAAATTATAAATTCAAATGATTAACTAAATGTTCTCGCTTGTTTAATACTAACTAGCGTCTCACTTTTCTTAATTTGTTCAGATTAAGATTGATTTTACGTTCAATTTATTTTCAGCATTTCACATGGTCTGTTTGTTGTCTTCATCTGAAAATTTCTTGAAAAAATTCCTTCCAAAATTTAGTTCCATTCCTATTTGGTTAAATCAATTGTTTTAGACCATGACGAATAAAATAAGAACTTTTCTTCATTCACTCTTTCAAACAAATCTAAATAAACTAATCGGCTCCCAAACAATAAGTTTTAAGATTTCAGAAATAATCATTCTGATTGTCTTTATAAAAAACAGAGCGAAAACCATCGATTTTAGTATTAAAATGATATTTTGTTGGCACCTTTCATTAAAATACAGTATGCATTTGATATTACAAATTTCTCGATTTTTTGATAATGATGTTATACTAATGCATTGACGCTTATGTGCGCGAAAAATATTAGCAAGGACCGATTCCAAAGTATAGAAATTGTCGTTCACAATAGAAAAATAGATTTTTTTAAACAATGGATCACATTCACTGAATAGGTCTTCATTCGATTATTTAAATCATTTAATACTTGCTAATATCGCTTGGATTTTAAATTAAGTGTAATTCAGATATAAAAAACTGATCAATTTTATCAGTTTGCGCCGACTTTTCCAATAAGATTGGAAACATTTTTCATTGAGATTCCCCATATTGTAATCTTAAATGTTTAGTTCTGCAAAAGTCTCATCCATTTTTTGAAGCTATCATTTAATTTTGATAGTTTGGCTTTACTATATTCAAGTCTCTGAAGGCTTATTTATAATTTCCTTAAATATTTCTGTTAGCAGGAGTTAGAAAAATTCCAAACTGTCTTTTATATCTGCATAAAAACAGAATTAGATGCTTCATTTTTCCTTTTGTATTTTTAAATTTTAGTTTACCATTTCAGCCAGTTCATCTTTTCTCCACTACAGTATTAAGGGGATGTCCTCCTGAAAAATCAATGCATATCTTAAAAAAAATCTTGAATACCCTCGCCAATTTTTAATTTTTTTTTTTTGCTTTTCCATAGGCTGCAAAGTACGCTAATGAAAGTTTTATCATTTTTTGGTTTTTAAGTCGGTCAGTATAATAAGATTTTGAAGAGGATTGGTCAATTGTGGATTTTTCCCTTTGCAATTTATTGCTGTAACGAACCTCCTTTAGATTTTGAATTGTAATAGTGTTGTGTGCTTAGCAGTTTAATTATGAACTGGACAACAAAGATACTGTGTGTAGTAGAATCGTATATTGTACTTGTCCTTGAATTCAAGGCTTATTTAATTATTTGCATGCAGTTCTTTTCATTTTTTAACAGCGCACGACGTCCTAATTTTTATACTTTCCATTTTTGTTTTTCCTTTTTTAAATATTTACTGAAGCTTGCATGAAATTTTTGGGATGCACTCTGTATTCATATCTTTATTTTTGAAATGAAGAAAAGAAAACAATTATAGTGATTTTGCTTATAATATTACAGATTTGTACAACTTCGCAGCAAAAAATTGTCGCGCTGGTAAGTGTAAATGTTGCTGTTTTAAGTAACTCTCTCTTGCCCGCTGAAAAACCAACATATTTTCATTAAGTTTAATTATTTGTATGTTACATTAATATATTTCATTTGCTTAAAGGGATGAATGAATTGATAGCTTTTTCATTTTAGCCATACTATTCAAATGGACATGGTTTAATTATTTTTGTCAGGTACAGAAGGTCTATAAAGAGGGTCAATTCCGAATTGATCCGTTGTGATAGAAGAGTGCTAGAGCCTTAAAAATTTCTATACCATTCTAAAATCTATTTGCTATGCAAAAGGGATGGGAATTGCTGTCTGTAGCGTTATATTTGGTCAGCCGGTGACAATGGCGTTTTCAAGCATGAAAGACACATACTCTGTCAGTTTTTCATTCCATCAACGATGTGCTCAGTGTTTTCATGAATTAAAGAAAAGGATATATTTATTCTGTCTTTGATATGAAAAAGCGATGTTTTATATAGAGAATAATCCAATACCATTTCTTTCTGCTCAGTAAATATTTTTTAGAATGGTACCATTGCTTTTCTGTTATAATAATTATTCATTCTCAAGTGCATGAGAATTCATTTAAATTGTTAAATTGGTGGCGATACTTTTCCTTTTTTATCCTATCTTTGCAACGATGGAGTGAATGAAATTTCTTGTTTCACTTTAACATCCTGTTAGTGCCATCACTCTTCACCGTCGATAGCAGCACTCGCAAATCTTAATGAAGGAATTTAGATAAAATCTCTATTTTGCAATTTATTTAGGTATCAAAAAATGTTGGTACAGCAAGGAATAGTACCAGTCATTCTTTATAAACCTTTCTGTTTTAATTTCTGGTCTCCTGAAGATGACCTGCTTTTGTTCACAATTCCGTAGCAAAAATTGCAGGCTATTATTGAATTGAGCAATCATCTCTAACCAATTTATATAATGACACAACGATGATTGCATGGTGATAATATTGAATCAGATGTAATGCTTAGATTCGCAAGCAAAATGTTGCTTTTAGTAAAATTGAGAACATTTTTAAGTACTGATCAAGAATGAATTAGTCCTGTAACTGTTCTCGGAAAGAGTAACGACACTCTTTACCATTCATGAAAATATTTTTTCTTTGTTAGATGCTGAAGAAAAAATTTTTCTTATGTTTTTATGACTAATAACAAGATTATATGATTCCTTCTCACTGCTTAATTGATTCTTTTATGTGAGAAACGATTGTAACATGTGAAAATTATTATCTAAAGGCTTATGCTCATTGTTTTACAAAAAGTTGTGTCTAAAAGGTAAGTTATGGTCATTACATTGTTGCATGCGTCTTTGTCCAGCCTAAGTTATGATAAAATTGGAAATATATAGAACAAATAGTATATTGGGAGCGCAAAGGATATGAAGTTGCGAGATAGAATGCATAACATAAAAATAAATAGTATTCATGTTTTCGTCTTTGTCGCAGAATTAGTTTAGCTGATATGGAATATTTTCAGGACAATGATAAATATAGCAGCCGACATCGAGTACATTCACGTTCTCGTTCAGATAGTCGAAGCAGACATAAGTCTCGGAAAAGATCCCGAAGTGATAGTGAAAGAAGTGATGTCAAAAAGTATATTTCTCACTCTGTTTTCTTTTTTTCGAAACAGTTTATATATCGTTTAAATATCAGAAATTTTTAACATTCAAGAAGGTTGAATATTGAATCAATTTCATTTACTTCTCTTCCTAGAAATTACTAATTTTTTTTTCAATATGGTTAGAAAATACGTATCGGTTATTATAAAAAAATAAATAGACATCTGCAGGTGAATAGAAGCGAATGATAATTTGCTTTTTTAATTTTTTAAATGCTTTTTTCCTTTTTAATATCTGGAAATTATAAAGAATTTAGGTCATACTATCATTCATCAAGCAGAAGTAGTGCATCAAGTCGAAGTAGTAGCAGCTCGTCTTCAGATAGCAGTTTTTCAAATCGTTCCGGAAGTCATACACGAAAAGCATTCAGATCTCAATCACCTAGCAGGCAATTTTATTTATTATTTTTATGCGCTACAATTTGTCGATACAGTTCATTCTTTCATTGTGGCTGCTTTTCAGAGATCGAGATTCAGAAGACAGTGATGAACAGAAGGAACGAAGAGCTTTGCGTAAACAGGTTACCTTGTTTTAATTTTTCATCCTACCTTAAAATTTTCTTTCTTTTAATCTTTATACTAATATATAAATTTAAACTTTTCTAAGCAGAGGACTTTCTGGCTAGTTTGAAGTGATAAAAAACTGCCGCGAAGACGGAACAAATTAGCTTCATCTATTCAAACTCGAAGGAGATATTTTCAGATTCGTGAAAAGGAAATAGCTTATGCTGATAGGTTACGTAAATGGGAAGCCCGTGAAAGAAGGCAAGCGAAATTGTATGAGCGGGATGAACAACGGGAAAAACAACGTAAGCGCGATATGCAAAAAGAAGCGAAAAAATTGAAACATTTCCTAGAAGATTATGATGATGAACGTATGGATCAGAAATATTACAAGTAATTATCTCTTTTAAAAAAAAATTTTTGTATATTATTGCTTGGGCCATCGGAGTGTGCTCGTTCACTATATTGCATCTCAACAATGGAAAAGGTAATGCAAGAGCGAGTAGAAAAATCATAATGCATTTGTTAAGGCATTCCATTTAATTATGTGTTCTTTTGTTGTGATATTTTCATGTTGTTGAAAAGCGTTTAAGGAACCATTGTTTTCATGCTGCTGAAGTTTTTAAAATAATTTTAAAGTTATTATTTACAGAAGTTCTTCATTGTTTCAACGTCGACGTGATTTTGAACGTGAGCGTGAAGCAGATGCTAAGGATCGGCAACGTGAACAACACGAAATTGAGGAGCTTAAAAAACAAATTTTGGCTGAAAATGCAAATGTTGAGAATCCGGATGAGGAAGCCAGGAAACGACACGAAGAACAGGTTACTTGATCCTTAAGCTTCATTGTTTGTTTGTTTCAGAAATTTTTCTTCTCAGAAAATTTTCTGAAAAATTAAATATGTTTAGGAAGAAGCTCTATTACGGAAATTACGAGCGGATTCTGGAAGTCCAAATCCGCATCGTCCATTGGGTCAAAAACCATTGCCATCCGAGCCAGAAAAAGATGAGGAAAGTGAAGAATCTGAAAGCGATTCTGAAAGTGAAGGAAGTGCTGAGGAAGCTGTCAAAGCGGAGAAACCTGAAAAGCGGAGTAGCTGGAAAGCTGGTATAATATTCATGATATTAAACTCATCGTTTGATGTCATATTCGCTTTTCATTGGGATATAATTTTTGCCTTTGTTCTAGTTTATCTTTGAAACCAGTATTAAATGAATTAGAAAAATATTTCGCAGCGGATGTATAAAATTGGCTTTTAAACCATGCAGTTTTAGTAATATTATATTTGGTAAACTCATTCTACTAAATCAAATGTCATAATTTTTCAGTAGCATCCGAAGGTACCCCTGTTGCGAATTCACCAATAGTGAGCGCTCCATCACCTTCTCTAATGTCATCATCGCTAGCAAGTCCAGCAGTTGTGCGTACTGATGTTATCACACCTGCACGACCGTCAGCGAGTTCACATCTTAATGGAGTATTCGGTTTCGAAGAAAATGACGAAGACGCAGCATTTCGAAAAAAGAAATTAAAACCATTTGAAATAACTGAAGAGGTAGCGGAGTTACGGTTTTTTTTTTTAAAAAAAAAACCTAAGTTTTTCATTGATTGTCTGTATATTTCGTTACATATCAGTTTCCTCAGTAAAAAAGATTTATGCTCAGGATCGAATTCAAGCGATGACATCAGAAGAACGTAAACAGATGATCAAGGATTTAATAGATCGCATTCCAACTGCTAAAAATGATTTGTTTGCTTTTCCAATCAATTGGAACTATGTCGATAAGTCTCTCGTTGAACAAAGAGTAAATATTATTTTGAAAATTAAAATTCACAAAATTTCATATTCTTCAGGAATATTTTTTTTGCTTCCATACATTTTCTGTATTTTTCATTCTATTTTTAGGTCAAACCGTGGGTTTCGAAAAAAATAACAGATTATATTGGAGAAGAGGAAGCTTCATTGGTTGATTTTGTGTGTGAAAAAGTGACATCGAAGACCGATCCACAGAAAATTCTTTCCGACATTGCGATGGTAACGTTTCCAGAGTATTTTGTCCCAGGAAATCTTTTATTTAGTTTTACGGTGTCTCTTGCTTATAACTGCCATCTAAAGCACATTATTCGCTGGCATACTTCAGTGAGTTTGACCACTGTCGTGTCTTAGCATTTCTGAAATGAAAAGTATGTCTATTACGCATAGAGTTAGTTATAATTTTTACAGGTTTTGGATGATGAAGCAGAAGTGTTCGTTGTAAAAATGTGGAGACTGTTAATTTATGAATCGGAAGCAAAGAAATTAGGTTTATCAAGGAAAGTTTAAAATATGCGTTCTTCTGCACTGGTGATTTTCATCAAGTGTGGTGTTTATTATTATGGTACTTCTAGTGCTTACTTTGTACTTTATTGATCTTGTGGAATACAGTAAAGCGATTATTTTAAATGCCTCGCAAATTACTGTTTAAAGAACAGTGTGTTTTGTTTATAGTCAATGTAGACATCTTTTCCAATTTTTATTATATTGATTTCGTTATTTGTAGTATGAAAGAAGATTAGTAGTATTTTTATATTAAAAAGAGTGTTTCAGTTATTTTTCATCAATTGTAATAACTGCATGTTTGCATATCAATAAGTAACTGTTCTTCCAACACTATGTACTTATTTCTTTAGAAAAAAAGATCAGTTGGTTTGTTTAGAACCTTGTAGTTCCGGCAGATCATATTTGATATATTTGATTTCAGGTATTGTTTGTATTGTAAAAGGATATCTACTGCTGCTTGTTCTCAGTCATTGTTCCCATGATAAAAAAAAATGTAAAGCGGATGTTTTTGCTTATTCTAGTAATACCTTCGAAATGAAACACAACATTTATGGTTGATTTCACCTTTTTTATTCGGGTTCTGAACTTTTTTTGAGATCTTAATTTATTTTTATAAGCGGTATATATAGCATCCTTTATACTGTGAGTTTAAATGTGGAGAGCGAATCTAAATATGATACTTGTTTTGCATCAACTTGTCACATTATCTTTGCATTTTAAAGCTTATGAAAAGAAGTTTGCACATTTAGCACTACATAATTAAAATACCCTGGAAGGAAAGCCTTTAAATAAAGTGAAAATGTGTGAAGTGATACAATAGATTTGCTTCGAATTTTTGGTAACTTCGCACCATGTGTTAGGAGAAGAATAATGTTTTAATCATAAAACAGCTTCAAATCTCACATTTAACATGTTTATTTTATATAATCAGAGAACTTCTGTATTTCTTCACTATAGTTTTCTGAAGTACAAGTTTATATCATATTGCTTCAGAAAGTTGAACGGTTTTGTAGTGGGATTCTCGGGAAAATTATGACAACAACTTCGCCAAGTTCATTCCCATAAGTTTCTCATCAAGTTAAGAAAAGTTTATTGTGGTCCTTGAATAATTTTTATTATAGGAAAAACTGTTACTGGGCAACATGCAGTTTCAAGGGAGCCCAAGAAGTATCCCGAAATTTTTGGTTCAAAATGCTCGGAGGCCAATTCATAGGGTGATTTTAAGTTTTTTCAGTTAAGTTTAATAAGCACTATTATGATAAATTCTTCAAAACTCTCCTAAACTATTATTTTTGTCTCAAATTTAGGGTCCGAAAAAGATGGAAGATCTAAATTTACAAATGTATTTGGAGCCACCTATGGAGGATATCACGCTGCTTGAATTTCAAGAGCTAGCAATCAATAGGTTGAGAGTGTTGAAAGCTGTCGAACAAGTGAAAGATCGTTTCCCGCGTGGGACGGAAGCAATAAACGATGAATTATCAAAGGTGAGCAAGCAACTATGGGTGTAAGTTATGCTATCAGTATTACTTATTGATTTTTGCAGTTTGACTATTGTGGCTTATCATGCTTTGGCGGCTACTATGAGCTCAATGAAATTATTTTTAAGTTTCTGTGGTCATCGACCACGGTGTTTAAAAATTTGTTCAGCGGTAAGTACAAGCTAGTGTAAAAGATGAATAAATGTTTTCAAAAAATCATTAATATCTTTCAGCAATTGATGAAATTGATGCCGATAGCATGTGGTTGTTGTCCGTTCGAAGAATTGGAAAACGAAAGAAGACGTGACGTTATATCTCATTTCATTCTTCGACTTGCATTATGTCAAAGTCCTGAGCAGACTAAATGGTTCATCCAGCAAGAAGTGGACTTGTTCAAATTTCGCTTTCAAATCGTGCGTTCTACCAATTTTGATTAGAAAAGAATATTTCAAGATTGTTTCAGCTCCTTAAGTAGGTAAAAATGCTGTTTCATTTTTTTCAAACATCATGATTTACTTTTATCATATATGTAGAAACATTGTTTCAAGGTCTCAAAAAGTCGTGATGCGGTAACTGAATTTTTACAAGCTAACAATTTTGATGCTCAACTTGTCACAGATGCTGAAAAAGAAAACCTTAAAGAAGAACTTTCGAATGCTTGTTTTATACCGCTTAATAAGGTTAATTAGTACAATGTTGAATTTTAATTGCTTTTATACAAGCATCTCATATTTACTTTTATAGGGATATTCATTATGTATTAACCATTTGATCCAACCATTTGCTGGCAGGTATGCAGACAATCTGCAAGCAAATGGTCAAATTTTAATTTCAGCATTATCAGTTACAAAATATAAAAATATGTGCTGATACATCATTCATGTGTCAGCATTGAACATGGTTATACAGGGGCACCTTATTATAATTCTAGCTATCTCTTTTTTTAATACTTTAATTAAGTTACTCCTAGTTCATGATCATTGCAAGAATTTGCTAGATCTATTTCTATACGGTGTGATGTCAACATGTTAAATAGGCTGCATTGAAACTATTCAAAGCTACGTATTTCAAAAAATTCATTTTTAATGTAATATACGCTTGATGCGTATATTACATTAAAAAATATTTTTCATTCGTACATCTCTATGCTTTACCAGTAATATCGACATTGTAAATTTTATTCTTAAAAAAGCAAAGTTATAGTGTTGATTATATTCTTTAAGAAATTTAGAAAAAAATTTTACTTTTGAAATACTTTCCATTCATCATTTTGAACACATATATTGTCTTTCAGGTTACTAGCACAAATTTCTGGAAAGTCCCTTTTGAAGATGCGCTTGATTTAGTTCGTAAACGTCGAGTTCTTCTAGTTTTTGGTTATGCTTTTGTTTCTGAAGATGATCTCCAAGTTATATTATGCACAAGACTTCGACTTAATATCGCCTCTGCTATGGCTGTTAGCATTTATTGATTAAACAAAGTTGGCTTATCCCAAAATTGAAACAAAACCAAAATTTATCCTAAAATATCTCAAAATTTTGTGATAAATCTTGTTTCTTAGTTTACGACTTTGTAAAAACCACAGTTAGTCATTGTTGTTTTATTTATACGCTATTGTTTGGTTTCAGCGTGCTTGTAGAAATATCGTATTCATTGAAGAAAATGACCGACTGATGCCCTTTTTGAAGAAACTATCAAACAGATCATATGTGGGTAAAAATTACGTTGGAACAGATGTTTCCCGTGTTACACCTGATATGGTGGATTCCGTATGTTCCTTGACTTATTATGCATATGTAGTATATTGTTTTCATTATGATAATTATGTACATTCATTTGTTGGAAGTAGCTTTTCCCTGGATCTTCGGATATTTTTCTGTGGGTGAACTAAATTATAGCTAATATCTTTTTTAATTTGTTACAAAGCATTAATCTAAGTACATGAAATATTTTCACTAGATATGAAGGAGTAATGAAAGGTAATTTGCATACTAGAATGGTAACTTTGCTGCAACTTTCCCATGAAAGCTGAGGAATAGTGAATACTTTCAAAAATCACTGCCTATTTTTAAAATGTTATTTTTTCAAGTAATAATTTTTCGGAAAAATAATTTCAAAAAAAAGTTTTCAGTTGGCTGTAGTTTCGTTCCCACTATGTATGAGGAATATACATAATCGATTAAGAGCAGATCATCATTTACGTCATGGAGCTCGAATGCAATATGGATTGTTTTTGAAAGGGATTGGCATGTCATTGGGAGATGCATTGCTGTTCTGGAGGGCTGAATTCACTAAAAAAATGGATTCAGATAAGGTTGGCTAAAAGGGATTCTGTCCTTGTCGAAGGGAGTTCATTTGTTAAAATGTGGTGGAGCTTCACTTATTAATTTAATGTAACTTTAAACTTTTGTAAAAATGTGAAACACTTTGGTCTTTCTAACTATCGGCTCTAAAAATATATCTACCAATCAGAATTGATAGTTTTCTTTACTGAAGTTTAGAGAAAACAATTTTTTGATAGGAACATCAAGTTAAAATCACGAAGTATTTTGTAAGATATAAATGTTCTATTTGAGAGGTGAACTCCTCGATTTATAGTTTGATAAGCAGTATGCGTACAATATTCGTCATAATTATGGCAAAGAAGGAAAGCATGCGGATTATTCGGCATATCCTTGCACAAAGATAATTTTGGATCTTAGTCCTTCTTCTGCAGATTGCCATGGTAATTTTAATACCCAGACAGTTCCACTTCCAGATATTCTTTACTAGCTTTGCTTCAAGCAATGCATCCCTTTCATTTCAGAGCATTTAACACTCTTCTGAAAATGGAGTTGGAAAGGGACAAGATTTAATCCATCCTCATTTAATCCTTGATTTGATTTCTCATTTACCTAATATTTTTTAAATATTTCACCAAACGATTATTAATTGTAATAATTCAGATATAGCTGGAATATAATTTGCATGTCTATCTTTAGGTTGTCCTTATCGACATAGCGATTTGCGATTACTCGCTCAAAATCTGGAAAGTATGGGTTTTTCCAGATCTCAAATTGAGCAAGTGAGCCTAATTGTTTTCTTAAATTAGTTCAAAATTTGTTGACAGAAATGAAAAAGATTAAAATATTCTTATGTGATCTACCTCAATACCGATGGCTCGAAGAAGCAAAATTTAATAAAGAAAAAGGAAATAGAGAAAAAAACTAAAACGAATTTAGTAGATTTCTTTTAGCTTTGGGATTATGCTTACAAAAAGATTATAAATCTAAAAGTTTCCTTCTTTTGTAGATAAGATAGATTTGTGCGGTCAGATTTCGTTTCATATCGTTTTGGCGTCCTTTTAAATGAAACTATTTATTAATGAATAGTGCTGAGCGAACTTTAGTAGATGTAATGCAAAATTTAATTTTAATTAATTATGCCCTCAATTTAGCAGAAAGGATATTCGAAACTTTTTTGTTTCTGTAGGTACTCAAAAGAAAGAACTCAATTCTACCGATTTTCCAACTTTCTTATCTATCATATGAAAATGTTCGCAATTGGAAACTTGAATTTTATATAGCTAACATTCATTAAGTCAGTAAAAATTAACAACGGAAACAGCCATGACTTTCGGAACGAAATTGTTTCCATGAAATATTACTTTATCTACATTATTTGCTTGTATATAATTTATCTTCTCACACATTCTCATCTCCTCAATAATAGCATCTGTGCACCAGGAAGATAGAGTATGTTGAAGCAGGGACTCTGACAACCTAATTACGGTTTCCAGATTACTTTATTGTCAAAAAATACTCAGTATGATAAAGCTTGTACGCGATATTTCGAATTTACTCATGAAATGGCCGAGAATTCTTTGGGTACTGTGATAACTCATCCTAATCAGTATTTCGAATTGTCGCGTCAGGTACACGAAGGGAAACGGAACAGGTTAATTCCTGATAACTTAAGAGTTTAACCATTTCTGATGATTTTTGTACCTTCAAATTATTTTTTCGAATATCTGGTTATTATCATTATTCATATGAAATGCTCCTCAAAATTTTATAATTTCGTACGATTCCTAATTATTTTAAGAGAAGAGGAACCGAAACATGAGGTAACGCTGAGCACATTACATGCGAATACCACTCAAGGCGGGGTTGACGTCGACATTGAAGATCTGATCAAAATGGAGAGATTTCCATAGTGGACCAACGGCAACCTTTTAAACAAGGCTGTTGAACAGACAAATTATTGTTCTTACCGGCCTTTAGGCTCCAACTTATGGATCTTCATGGTCATTTGCTCAATCGACTTTCTTTGCTGCAACATCCAGACTTGCCAATTTTTCCATATTTCTTTAATTCCAATGATCTGATTTCATTTCTTCGATGTGCTCTCATTAATTATGCCTCATCAATGAATTCTTTTTTTTAAAAGTATTTTGGGATAGCAAATTTAATCGTTCAACTGGCACAATTATAAAAATACAGCAATGACAACGTAAACCCGTCAAATCAATATAACATTTTACAGAGCGACAGCTCAAAAAGATCTAATGAATAAATCAAATTTTCATCCTAAGGTTTCTAAGAAATTTAAAAGTATGAATAAAAGTCAACAAATATTAAGTAATCTTCGCAAGCCTGAGCCAAATATAACACACAAGTCAATGAAGACTGCGTTACAACATAATCGTCACAAGAAACATTAGAAAAAGAATAAGTAAATAAAACGTAACAACATAGAGCATCAAATTCGGCTTTATACTTAACTTATAACTCATTACTCTAATAACTATATTATGTAGAGAAATACAAAATGACTGCACAATGACAATTAACACAGCTATTCCGGTGGTTCAATTCATATAGCCAGATTTGAACGAATGAGTAAGATAAACATATCTTGACAGCACGAGCATCTTCTACATTCATCAAATAAAAGAATGATCAAGACACAAACAATACTGAGAAAATAAATCAACAGAAAGAAACGTCTAGCATAGCAGAAGTACAGTACTGATAATTCAAATCAGTTTAAAAACTACGAAATGAAATACAATAGGTCGTAGTAAGAAAAGTAATGACTACAGTCAATAATGGAAAATGTGATCTGTTGGTGTGATCTATGAGCAATTATTGAAATTTTTTTAATCACTCCAGAAAAGAGAACTACCTTAGTCGAGAGGATCAAAAACTGGCATTGCTGCTGAAACCTGTGTAGTTTGTTTGTACTTCATTACTGATTGTATTAAGTCACTTTCACGAATCATTCTCGTAGTTTCATTATTTCTGAAATAATCGCAAATCAGATTAAATAAAATGGTATTTTTTGTATTAATTTCGTCTTATGTTGGTCATACGGACAGAAGTCAAATAAGCATCCGTGATTCTTATACCTTACTTTTAAAAAGTGATTTTGATTTTGTGAAAAGTTAAAAGCAGAAACATACAAGTCCTTTCCTTGAATAAATGCATCCTTGACTCGCGACAAAACTGCCAACCGACATACTTCCTTCAAATCAGATCCGCTTAATTCAGTAGCATATTCTGCTATTCTTTCAAAATTGATTTCTGGTGTTATAGGTTGGTCTCTTAATAAAACTTTTAGGATGTCTGCACGAGATTCTAAACTCTGAAATTATTGAAGATCAACATAAAAATCACAGTGTTTTTGTAAACGAAAAAATATCTAACATAGGAAGTTTTAAGCATGATCCCAAAATTGAAATCAAAGCTTACTGGTAAAGGAACGTAGAATCGTGCAGGCATTCGCCGCAAAATGGCACTGTCAACATCGTTCGGTCTATTGGTTGCTCCGAGCACGACGATTGCATCGTCTAAAATAATGTAAAGAACGTTTACAAATGCGACAATCATATATTCTGAATTTTTTGACTTAGATATTGTGCTTTACAAACAAGATGTTAATAATGGATACAACTCAAATAAGTGCCCTGATGCAGTAATTTAACCATATACTCACCTGATGAAGCAAAACCATCCCACAAGCACATGAACTGAGCTTTCATCATGGCAGTGGCTTCGTGGTCATGGGTATTTCGATCTCTTAAAAATGAATCTGAAACTATGAAAAATGTTAAAATTCAAGCATATAGAAGCAAGATTAGAAATTTCAAAATGCAAGAAAAAATTTATCATCAAGCTCACCTATTTCATCAATGAATATAATCGTGGGCTGGAACTTCTGTGCCTGCAAAGATTGGTTATATCTATCTTACTAAGAAAAATACTGTAATACTTCATAAATGAAGCCAGTTCTTTCATAAATATTTGTTATTTTGTTCATTCAGGAAAGAACCAGTAAATCTACACCTTCAATACACTTCCAATCCGTATTGAAAAATATTTCCGAAACAGTATGTTTTAACCAAAATCTCGAATGGCCTATCATATATTGCATAATTATATAATTTTTAAAATATATACCACAGAGAAAACTGCATCAGCAAGCTTCTGTGATTCACCATACCATTTATCGCAAAGCGATGACACTTGCAAATTAATAAAACGAGCATTCGCTGCGCGGGCAATAATTTTTGCCAATAAAGTTTTACCACAGCCTGGTGGACCGTATAAAAGCATTCCTAAAGTACCACTTAATTTAATGTGCTAGCATTCACAAGAATATAAAAACTAAAACTCTAAGAACTACTGAAAAATTGATTATTCAAGCAATTCAATTCCGCCTTTTCCACATATAAGTTCAACAACGACTGCCATATAACTCATTCCGAATTTGCTTTGTTTTTTTTATTATATTGGTTATGTTATTATAAATGTTTTTATTTTACAATTTGTTGCTTATTTGGCTTTATTGGAAAGTCATTTTTTAGGTGGTACCTAATGTCGTATTGGGCCTCATAAGGTTGGTTATTGCGGGTTGTTTCAGGCTTTGTTTGATGATCTTAAGCTGTTGAAACTGCCATATAACTCAATCCGACCAACAAAATAACTTGTTTACTTTTTTTTGATTTTTCAGTAATAAATCATGTACTATTTAAGAAAGAAATTAAATGAATTACCTTTAGGCGGAGAAAGAAGATTTGATGACATTGCGAATTTCTTGTAAACGTTGCGAATTTTTAGTGGAATAATTATCCGATCATTAATTTCCTCAATAACTGCGCCACAACCACCAATATCACACCAATCTGCACCCTAAAATCCAATTTGTGCATCATTCAATTTACAGTGTAATCCAAGTCCTAGGAAAATTCTATGGTTCATTATATTGGATACCTGATCGTTTCCTTTCCGAACTACTTATCTGTGATTTTTTACAGAATGAAAAGAAGGTATTTAACATTAAAGAAACAAACTTCACTTTCGCAAAAGCTATTTAGACAGTTCTGCAACATATATGGGTACAATTATTATCTTTGAATGAAGATAGAACGAAAACTGAGAAGTGCAAGTAATTGAGGAACTAACCTGACCACAATGGACGAATTGTGTAGCTATACGTAGTTCGTGTTCATTAAGCTCTATTGATGGATCTAAACCTAATGCCTTGATTACTTGAGCAGCCTGTAAATTTATATAAAAATGAACGATTTAAAAGTCCATCTTGATTTGCTGGATAAATTCCATAGTTGAACAATAAGCTAACCTTCTTTTTTGCATTTTTATTGATGGTGTGATTGGGATCAATGTACTTCGCTGCCAATTTCATGATAACGACTGATGCAATTGTAGCAACAGCAACACGAACACAAAAACTAAGTGCTTGATCCATCGACAATAACATTACCCACCTTTCCCCTATCCGTTCCCTTCTTTGCTATCACTTCTTTATATATATATGTATATATATAGTTCAACTAATTATGCATTCAATTCTGGTAATATCAAATGAAACTCCAAGAAATCCCTATAAAAATGCAGAGCAACTTCTCCTCAAGAAAAAAGTGTCAGTAATGGTGCTAAGTGAATGCGTCATCACTCTGTGTTTCACATCCCAACATCAGCCCAACCGTTTCCACTGTACACGCTTCATATTTAAAAAACCGAGTTAAAAAGGACACAAATCCCCGCCTCGGTAATGGTGTGCAACAGTGTCAGACCACTTATGTTATTGATCTAGTACCACTTTGCCTACACTATTCCTAGTCCAAAATCCCCAGTCACCTAGCACACTCTTAAATGCAATATATCCTGAACGGGCGAGATGTTGTATTTCTTTGAATGACCGCTCTCCCGAACCCCACAATCAAGACCCACTCGTATGGTAGCCATTTGTACAAGTACGCACATTATTTGGTTATTTGGTTGTACATCGCTATAACATTTATGTATGCTATTTAAAGATATACCTGGAAGAATTAAATGACATGGTGCGTGGGAATTTGTAGCTAGTATTTTAATTCATCAAAATTCCAAATTGCAATGATGAAAGTATGCCCAAAAACAGAATCAACAGATTTTATACGTCTGATCCGGAGCACAAAATTTAAAAGATTCAGAAGCTGCATGGGGAATGATCAAATGACATAGTGCGCGAGGAACTTGTAGCTAGCATCCCTATGTACACAAATTAGATAAAAAGATAAGAGCAAAGTGCTATGACCCAAAATCAAATGAAGCGAGTCTCTAAAGTAATTTAAATTAGCCTGAAGATTGACAAATCAACATGAAGGCTGAAAGGACTTTATGCAAAAGACAGCGCTGCATTCCAAAACAGTGGAGCAATATGAAACAGTGAAGTAATAGATTCACTTTTCCTGACATTTTTTAACTTTTATACGAGGGATGACAATTGAACTTTAGTTTTATATATAAGTCGAACTCATAATTGCCGACAGTTTTCACCTAACCTAGCAAGAATCCAGTAAAAGACAGATACGTTTTCTAGTATGGGAAGAAAAGAGAATTAAAAGATGAGATCAAATTAGGGCATTAGAAGTAATTACAGATTTGAAATCAACATGCAGGTAAAGGATGAGGTCCGTCAGCCACAGATGGTCGTCGATAACCAGCACTGAAATCTTGCCGATATGACACTCGTCGCCCTGTTGGTGTAGTTGGTCTGTTCTTTACATCCAGACCACTGCCCTGGCCCTTTGCCAGCAACGATACGGGTGTCGAACTGTACAAACGATTCGGTGGAACAATATCCAGTGAAGCAGATGGACTATTCGGTTTAGTAGGCATTCTAAATTTCGTTTACAAATCCATCAATTCAAGATTTGAATATTCTTCAAGCTTTAAATCATAATAAGTTTCTCAGTTCTTTTTCTTGCTTTACGCAAATTTAATCAGATAAAAAGAGAAGTTCACATCGTAAAAGATTTTCAGTAGAATTATCTCTTTTTGGAACTTACGCATTAGCTCTTGGCACGAATGCAGGAGCATTTGTGGAAAATTTTGTTTTGCTTACACCATCCGATGCTGAAATGTTAGAAATAATTATATGAAATCATTTAACAGTTACAGAAAATCTCTGATATATATATATCGATTTTTCCCTCTGATCCTACTTATGGCAACAGATATTTATAGTAAAATTTATAGAAAAATGAAACCTTGCTGGTGAATAAATCGACACTTATCCCCATAAGGACAGTGACCATTTTTGAAGTTAATGCAAAGTTTAGTGCGATAGTTATTCAATGATGGACCCGACCTATTCCGACATATCAATTCACTTCGATTCTGCAATTACAAAAAAGTTCGCTAGTTCGGAATGTACTCCCTTCATAAACATTCCGGCGATTCAAGAAGTTACTAATTTAACAAGTAATAGAATTTCCAAATGGAAATTGAGATGTAAAAATAAGCATTCAGAAATTTGCTAAGTGATCACGGAAAAAATATTAAGGAAAACTTTTCTTAAAACAAAAATTGAAATGCCTCTGTGAGTCCACCTATCTCCCATAAAATTTTTGATAAATTTAGACAAGTTAAGAAAAATATCATCGACTCACAGCACTGTCTCTTTGGAAATTTCTGTAGTCATCATTTCCAGAATGACGATTGAATGACGACTGGTTAGTGCCTGTAATGTATGATTAAAAAAGTTTATTCAGAAGTTATATTTTTTTGTAGAATTTCTCAATTCCTGAAATCATGAAGCATTTTCATGCAATATTATCTACTGTTGCACATATAATTGTTGAAATCGTTTTTTTTAAAAACATTCTTTTGGAACATCTATCGATTGAGGAGAATATTTTATCGTGTCAGTCTCCTTGAATGAAGCTTTCTTACCCGACTTCAATACATTTGCATAATTAGCGGCTAGCGTTTTTTTTTTCAAAAAGTTGAAACGTTATTACCCGTCGATAAAATGCTATCCTTTCTCGGTGTCATTCTTACGGTTGGACTCTGTGACGTTGGATTAATTGTCGGCCAACTCTGGTACGGTGCAGAGGCAAATGAAGATGGTAATGGCTGTAGAACTGATGGTTTTGGACAGACTGATGGCAGAGGTGGTGGTAATGGTGGCAGTGGATTACCAGGTACGGAAGTTTCTGGGAATGGTGATAGGACAAAAAGAACTGGGTTAGGACGTATATAAGAGCTAAAAACTGGAAAAGGATGCACCGGAGGCGGAAAAGGAATAGGAAATGGTGGCGGTGGATAAAAAACCGCATTAAGTGGCAATTCCGGTGCCCCTTCTATAAATCAATTTTTGAACATATTGAGATAGAAATAAGTAACTGAAAGCAAGTTACCAAGTTGTCAGTTTGTTCCAATGAAATGTATACAACATTAGCAGAAATCTAGGAAATTACATTTCAGCTCTAAATTCGAGCAATAGTGTAAGATATACCTATATGTGTAATATATATCTATGTATAAAACCAAATATAAAAGTTACGGTAATAGGTTTAAAAAAAATCTAAGCGTCTTATGAAAAAAAGGCACATAAAATAATGCCACCATTCACGGAAATGGTAGCATTATTTTGTATATAGTAAGATAAATTTACTAGAGTTTAGAAAAAAAAACATGCCTTGCGCCGTGCCAGCACTATCATTCGTCGGACTTTCCCTTGTAGTATTTTCGAGCGACGGTGGAACACTTGGTTGCTCGCAAAATATCGATTGTGGTAAACCACTTGGAAAGATATATGGCGGTTGAAAATATACAGTTCCTTGATGTGGCGGTATTACAGATAATGGTGTAGGTAAAAATGGTATAGGTTGTGGTGGTAATGATGGAACTTCCGACAGCTGATAGCCCATTACAGGATCGCCAGATGCTGGATGCGGGAACACCGTTGCCATTTTCGTTATCGTACAACCTAAAATTGTGAGATCAAAAATAACGCTGAAAAGTAGAAACAATACGAGTTTACTTAATTACTAAAACATATTCAATTTTACCTTCAAATGCACATGAAACTCCAAGGGGATACCATCCTTATCCCAATATTATCTAAATAAGTGATGAAATATGTCAACAACTGGTCAAGGCATGATAAATGCGCCTATGCACTTGTATTTTGATCAACGAGATCTCTTATCTACTTATATTTTGATAATCCATTACATTATCTGTTCCAATAAACTAAACGACCGATGCGAAAAATCTTACCTAAGTTATTTCAGTTTAGTTTTAAAATAAGATGAGCTGAAACTGTTTTAAAACGATAAATATTTTCTAATTATTTCTATAGTCAGAAAATATTTATCATTTCCAAGCAGTTTTTTGTTAAAAGTAATTAAGTGGACTGCGAATTGTAGAATATGCAAATAAACCGCAGTTAAAAACTAGGAATATAATTCACATCTGTTGCAGTACTGCTAAGCTCTTTGATATTTCACATGCTTACTTCTCTTGTTCTTCATGATTTTCATCCATTCCCTTTCCCCTATACGATGTTAAATATACAAAACTTTTCTCCACACTTATTTTCAATTGTATATCCAACTATGCTTCTTTACCGTATAATCTTCCGACAATATATTATTATTTGAACAATGGCTAGAAATTAGATCACATTAACTGCTATCATCAAATATATAAAGGTTGTTCCTTAGTCAGTCAAAAGCTTGACCTGCTGCCCGACGAAAATATATCTAATCTATCAGTCACTGTCAGTAACAACAATATGAAATGGAAGCTAATACTCAAACCTTTCAATTCAAATTGAACTAAAAGTTTTACATGGCTGGATCGTACGCCACGTTATTCATCTCCCTTATAGACTCTCCCAAATTTATGCGCAAAAAAAACTAGCTGTGTGTAATGTGCCACCCTCCAACAATTGACCTCATAAAAAGATTCAAGTTTAGGACAAGAGATGAACCTATGTGTGCATCTAGCGCAACACTTACTAATTATTAAAATAAAAATATAAAACATAATATATGCGCAAATATTTTCGCCACTGTATTTAAAACACTTACAGTTGACAGCGTAGTTTGTTCTCAACTTGGATCATTAAATAGAAACCAATTTAAACTTGAAACCAAGAAAAAACTTTTGTTAAATTATTGAACCACAAAGACTGCACAGTCTCCTATACCACATTGGAATACTGTTTTGCATTCCAAAACATTCTCACTAACATTTGTCGTTTGATGAAGAAGCATCAAGCGGGAAAATGTCATACAGCAGATGTATGAAGCGCAAAAAAAGTCACTTTTACATATTATTTCGAAATTCCAAAAAATGACCAATGAAGTTAAATGAAGAGATAAGAGAGAATATCAAACATCGTGTAACAAAGTGGCCTGTTCATACATACGCAAAATTCAGGTGACTGAATATTGCCTGTATGAATAGACCACTTTATTAAAAGTAAAATGTTCTTACTCAGCTATCTTCCATCGCAACATGTTGTTGGTCTATGAAGCAGTATTTGGTCAACTGGAAACTCATTTTAGGGTAGGACCCTACAATCTGCCTAATATCTCCTACATTTATCATATCACAAAGACGAACAGGTCAACCGACGTCAGGCAACACCGGGACACCCCGAATATCACCCTCCTCACTGTTCAAATGATGGTTTTGACGCCAATTTGAGTGAGCTCTTGTATTTCACAGCTGGACGAGTCCTCTGTACGATATTTCATGACGGATAAGGCCGGCCTGTTTTGTTGGGATTGACGTGGGAGAGGGGGAAGCCAGAGGTCAGGGGCTTCTGTAACTGTCGTATTGTGCATTGAAGTGGGAGAAAGAGTGCAGTTCATGATTTTGTCCTCTGAATATTTCGCATTAACTAACTGCGTTCGAATTCGATCTTCTCAGCTAATTTTTTTTGATGTAATTTTTTGTTTATCAGGAATGTTCACTCCTACTTTTCGAACGATCAGTGAACTTGAATTGATACCGGAAGATTTGTTTTATGTTACTGTTAATGGGAAGATTGTGGATTGGAAGAATTTGGATAAGAATGCTCATTTCCAAGTACACTTCAGACTTCGAGGAGGCAAAGGAGGTTTATTATAGATTTTACATTTACTGCGATAGAAAATTTTTACAATGCGCTTATCTAATACATTTCAGTGCTCATCATATATCAGGTTTAGATGACCAAATAAGTCTTAGATAAATTTTGACGAGTCCGCTGACATTAAATTTTGGTTTTTTGAGTGGAGTGTATTATTTTAAATTAGTAGTTTCTTGTTACTTTGTTTTAGGATTATTTTTTTAGTCCCTGGTATTTTAATGATGGAGTTATTTTTTTGCTTCTAATGACTCCGTATTCTTCAGGTTTTGGTTCACTGCTTCGCTCATTTCGTATTCATCGCTCAACTAATCAGTTAATGTGCCGCGATTTATCGGGACGACGGCTTGCTGACATTAAGGAAGAAGAAAAACTCCGCAAATGGATTGAAAAAGCAGGCGAAAGGGAAGAAGAAAAACGTCGGCAAAGGTACTTTTTCTGTTTTAGCTTTTCATCACCTCACTTTTTCCATCTTTAATAAAAACTTATGTTTTCTTAATTACAGTACTTTCAGGCAAGAGAAATACGAGAAATTAAAAGCAGGTCCTCTAAAACATGACTTTAATGATCCTGATTTTATACAGACACGACAAAAAATTATGGAAGAAACAGATGAAGCGTTTGAACAGGGTAATTTTTTATATCTTTTTAACTAGATTTACTTCTTCGAGAGAAATATTAGAATTATCGATAATGTAGAACATTTTTCCGAGCCGTGCGAGGGATTTCGATTTTTTTTTGACTTTATTCAAACTGGATAAAAACAGTTTTTTAATTAATAAAGAGTCATGGTGTGAGTTTGCATTTTAATTTAAATAGAAATTCTTTTTCTAAAAACATTTAATTTAGGCATTGCTGTTGCTAAAAAAAGAGTTAATGATGACAGTTTGCTGAAGTCAAAACAAGAATCACAGATGGTTGGAGATGATTTGCGGGAAGAAACTGTACTGCCTAAACGAAGAAGAATGACGACGAATGAAACACTTGAATGCATAGTGCCTAGTTTAGATGACGAAAGGTAATTGCTGTTTTCGTGTTTTGCATCTATTGGTAGTCTAAAGTAACTGAGTTTCCCATCACTAATTAAGGAGCTGATTATCGATATTGTTTACTGTGATTCAAGAGATGTTGTTACTATGTGACATGTAAGAAAATAGAGTAAGATTATGGCAAGGCTAGACTGAAATAAACAACTATCATGTTGTTATCCTGACAGTAAATGTTGGAAAATTGTAGACTTAGGTTACTTGCGAAACTTCCATTCCAATTTAAAATAATTCAGTTTCAGCAAAAGCACAGTCGCTATTAGTGATGAAAGCAAAAAGCGTATTGAAAGTGAAAAAGAAAAAATCTCTTCGGAAACAGCAGGTACTCCAAGTTGTCATTAGTCTTATGTTAACGTTTATGACCTTGAAAATGTTGTCATTTCAATTTTCACTTTAGAAAAGTTAGTTATTGATTTCTAGCTGTGTTTATTGCGGAAAAGTCAAATACCGTTGTGAAGAAAGCGTCAAGCAAAATAGTGGATTTTGATATCAATCTGGATGACTACGAGAGTGCGGAAAAACTGGAATCTCTGGGATTAGATCATTTAAAACATGCTCTTGAAGGTTTTTTTTTTAATTTTGATTAGAAAATTGTTTAGTTTTCAAATTTTATTTTCGGTACATACTGTATTTTTTTAAATATTGTTTTACGTGATGCTTAATGTTTTTTCTTCCAGTACGTGGTCTCAAATGTGGTGGTTCATTAACTGAGCGAGCGGTTCGACTTTATTCTGTCAAAAATTTAAAACCGGAGCAGTATCCGAAGAATATTCGTGCACGTGACAAAAAGAAGTAAATAAGATTGTACATTTTTTCTACACCTTAATGTTTCTTTCAAGGTCATTGTGCATTAGTTACCAGGATGCGTTGCAGATTCTAACAAATGATGAATGCGTTGGTATAAAACATAATTTTTCTTTGAATATATAATTTGTTTGAGCATATTGCTCAATTTCTATATATTGCTTTTTTATTTGTTGAGATTTGATGCTTTCTTCGGAGACATCGAATCCTGTAATTTGTGTATTTCTATTTCATTATTATTTCCTTAATTGTCGTTTTTTATTATAGAATTAAAAATGTAGACCTAAGATCATTGATGTGTATTTAAATATTGGAATGAAAAAAAATAAATGTTCTTTGTAGTGGTTATGGTTTCAACGATAAAATTGGTTTTAATTTTGAATGATTGTTAATTTGTTTGAGTTTTCATTGAAATGATTAGCGTGATATATACATACATTTTTCTCAATTTTGTGATACTTTATTTTTTTGCCGGAATCTCCTTAGGAAGAGTGATTAAGCGAAATTGTTCTCATCCTTTTTTATGAGATGAAGCTCTTTACGGTTAGAGTATTTACTTAATTAGTATTCAGAAAAGACAAAGTGAAACAGATTCTTGGATTTAATGATTTTATCGGCTAGTTTTTGGTTTCAGAATGAAGCAACTAACTACTAATGAGGTTTTGCCTGGTCAGGTAATAAATTTATTTTGTAAGTTTCCGTACTTTTCACTTATCTTTTAAATATGTGGGGATACTGTTCAGGATTTATCAGCTTAACTGTGATCTCCTTTTAGAATTTGGAAACGAACGTCTCTTCCATTGGTAACTGCGGAATGAATATTCCAGTGAATGAAAATGATGAAGCAGAAGTATCAGCAGTCTTAGCTCAGGTCGAGCAAAAGGTATATTTAATTCTCTAAGATTTGGAGGACTTTAACTTGAAAATTTGTTGATGTCAGTAATGCATTCTAGAAGAAGTTTGTGTAAAGGAAATTTTTTTTGAGGAAGTGCTTTTAAGTTTCATTTGAATTCATTTTCTGTTGGCTCGAAAGAAGCAGTCTTTTGAATTTATATATGATAAAAGATGTTCTAACATGTTAGTAATACATAGAATGAAGTTACAGGCTACTGAAGCTGTGAATGTTTTAATAAAAATCAGTGAAAAGAACAGAAAGAAAATGTTATTTCCTGAAGTTGATCAATTACTTCACGTTCAGTTTGTTTATAAGAAACCAGGCACTACACGAACTAGAAACCGTGTCAAACGTTTGTGAGTTCCCGATTATTATTGTTTGCTATCTAATATGATATATTTCTCTCATCTGCTGCAAGAAATAAAATGTTAAAAATACAAATCAATTTTGGTAGAACTTTTCTGACTGATTGCATACAGGCTTAGTTTAATATTTTGGGACCGTAATAGAAATCAAAATAGTATATTTGTTGAATGAACAAAAAGAGTACAATTTTCATTTTTTCTACAGCATTCTACCGCATTCGTTATATGAAAAAGGTAGTGCAACTGTTTGCTTGATTATGCGAGATTTGGACCGATCCGCAAAAGGAAAATTTGATCCAGATGTTGACAAGCAAGCAAGGTTATGGAGCGAAAAATTGGAACTTGAATTCGGAATTACCAAAGAACACGTGCAAAAGGTATTTTCTGAGATTCGAATAATAAGATTAGGCGAATTTCTTTCTTGGAAGTGATAATTTTGTCAAGATATAGGTTGAAAGTCCTTCATTTATGATAGTGTTTTCCAGATTTTAACAAAGCGACAGTTGGAGAGGGAGTATCATTCTTACTATGACAGGCGTCAACTGGCGTCTGCATATGATATATTCCTAGTAGATGCCGTAATCGAGGAAAGTGTTATACATTTTTGTGGCAAAGAGTTTCACAAGGCAAAAAAGTAAGGCAACGACAGTATTCAAAAATAAAGTTTTCAATGCATCCTCTGGTTATCCAATTTATTTTGTATTCTGCAAAGCCTTCAGTTTATGCTGATTTAGTTAGCAGTAGACAGTAATGAATTTATTTTCTCAGTACTAGTCCCAAAATTTTTTAATCCATGTATTCTAGTAATTTACAGCCTCTCAGTTCTTCACATCTCGGAAACTTTTGTTTATATCTTAAGTAATTTGTAATGTGGAAATTGTATTTCGTTCGTGTAATGTTCTTCCTACACATGATAATGCAACTGTTTCTTTGCAGGACTCCTTTGAGGTTGCGATTACATCAACACGGATCATTGGTAGAGGAGATCGAAAAAGCTTATTACACCGTCACATTCCCGCTTTTTCCATTCCGTACACGGACGTATGTTTTCATTCACTCTATTGTTTTGTTCCCCAAGTTAGATCTGCCTTTCTGTTCAAGTTTGTTTGTATTTTATATAATTGATGTAGAGTTCAAAAAAATTTAACAATAAAAATGAAAACATTCTAGTTTTGAATGTCTCATTGGTGTCGCTTCAAAACTACATCCTGATGGTAAAAAATCGGTTTCGAAATCCTTCAAATTAAAAGTCTCATAAAACTTCATTCCAGGAGTCTTCGCATTGGGAATCTCAGTAATCCCATCAATTATATTGTAGAAAATATATGTGCAGCAGTTGAAAATGTATTTCAATACTGTCCAGGTGGTTTATGCAATATTCATTCAATAAGTCTACAGATGGTGACAGGCGGACCATCATTACCTCTTTACATCGATGCCGGTTTGTTTTTGAATGATTCCTTATGTTTACATTTTGTTTAAATTAATGTCAACTTTATTTGAGGTATTTTGTTTAAATTAGTGTCAGATCTTTGCAATCTCTTCCTTAAGGTTTCTAGTTGTTATAGTTTGCATTGAACCACATTAGATTAATTGATGGTACGGGTTTTATTTATCCCGTTAGATTAAAGAAAAAGTTTCAAGTCTTATCACATATTCAATATTTTAGGGCCTAGAAATATGGTCAGCTTACCAATGCCCATGAAAATGAAGGATCTTAAAGCGAAAAGAGACAAAGAAGCAATTGCTGATGAATTGTCTACATTGCCAGAAGGCTTAGAGGTTTTAGTGTACAGAGACGGTGAAGTGAAAGTGCTGGATTCGGAAAGTTAGTTTGCTCACTTTAAAATAATGGGAAAAATATAGAATGAGCTGTTACTTGAACTTATTTTTATATTAGCTACTTTATTTCGAGATTGGGTTTTCCCTATTTCACACTTTTTTGATTAGAAGATCAAATCTATTTAACAAACATCCGCTCTAGGAAAATTAAAATGTTGCAAAAGTTTGCAGCTTTGAAATTTTCTTGCAGCTAAAAAGCCTGTGCTCTATCCGACGGTTAACGATGAGTGGGAAGAAGGAGATGACTTGAAGCCACTAATAAACCCAGTTAAAGTTAGCTTTTTTTATTTTCTCACTTATCGAACGAGTTATAGAAATCATTGTCTTAGAAATATCATTAAGAGCGGCAAAATTCAGTACTATATTTTAGCGAAGAAAAGCGCTGGAAAAACGTTGCAAACTGAGGGAAAGAAGGAAGGAAGCACAGAAGGCTAAAAAACGACTTCTGTTACCTATAAAAGATGGTATTTCGAAAATCAAAGGCTTAGTGAAGAAAAAGAATAACAAACGAAATAAAATCAATGGATCTGGAGGTATAAAACGAAATCGAAAGAGTCATACGGCGATCAACAGAAAATCCAAATTACATAAAGTGAAAAAGGAAACAAAACAAAAGGAAATTTAAAGTCTGGTGAAATATACAACTATAACGGCTAGAGACGATTTAAATATTTAGTGAAATAACAATTCAATCTGTTTGTTTTGTGAATTTTTTGTGTATCACTTAAAAGTTGGCATAAACGCTAAATTTAGATTTGGCCTAAAGCAGTGGTAAAATAATATTGCACGCCACAAGATTTACATATTTTTTATTCAACAGTTGGTCGGGAGAAAATCGCCACTATTAGCATTTAGAAATTAGAGACTTGGTTTTTATGAAATAATCTTCCATGGCCGAAAGTTCTCGGAAATTATCTGGAATTTGAGAAACTGGCAGAATTAGAAATTGGACTGACTTCAGATTACAAACATTAGCAATTAGTATAACTGCTAATAGCATATTTTTGTTCATGAAGCTTTTGGTTTAGTCCTTGGGATTTATTTATCAGAATCGATTAGAAATATAATATGGAATTTATTCCTTCATAATATTAATAAAATGACTTTGAAAGTTTAGAAATTCGAATGACATGTTTTTGTATATGGGTATGCATTATTTATTTATTTACAAAATATATCTTTAACGTGCTAAAAAGATGGGAAAAATCTTTTAGTCACATCATCCCAGCTCTCTGCAGATTTTTCTGTATAATTGTATCGATGACACTCGTTATAACCAATTGTACTTGATTGGTATCTGTTGCACAGGTCTCGTGCATATAAATTGTCTTTTTATCCGGGTTCAAGTTCAGCTCACTGAATTTCATTTTTATAAAACTCATTGCTTCCTCGTAATTCTGACCACCTAAAAGTGTGCTTCATATTACTCTTTATCGCTTTTCAGTTTTTATTCAAGTTTAGGTGTAATTGCCAAGATTTGAATCAGTTTGCTTTTCAAAGGAACACTTGAAGATAGCTTGTAGCACTTTGAACTTAACTTCTAAAATTTCATCTATTAATTCTTGTGCTGAAAGTTGAAATTTTTTAAATATAAGGCATATATTTGTTGTTATTAATTACTATTGTATATGAGAAAGTTTTTCTTAGGGATGAAATTTCGAACCATGAATTTGGAAACTTGCTCAATCTGATTATCACTGAAAAAATGATGGATGAAGAAAAGTAATGCAAAAAGATGAGGGAAAGGAAGAAAATGGAAAAGAGAAGATTATCGATATCTGCTGTTATGCTTTATATCAATCGTGCAAAAGTGCTCAATGCTTGTGTCTTAAATAGGAGTATAACCAAAAAGTTGAACTGATGACGTTCAGTGTTCACTGATATCATTTTTACTAATATCTCAATTTAACCTCTGATATTATTATTGGCTCCCATGGTTATCCCATTAAGATAATTCGGGATTACTTTAATCACGATAGTGCATTTACTTCCTTGAGCATTCTATATTCAAAAAATTTTTTCATAATTAACTTTAGTGGTTAGGTTTTTTATGCAATGAAATAAAGTTTCAGGTTTTATTTAGAAAGGAAAAATTTTAATATTCTGAAAATGTTTGCTTTGTGAGGTTTTCAAATTTTAGCCTTCTATAAATAGATTAAATGTTTTTAAAGTTTAAGAATTATGCTATTGAAAATATATGAGAATGTCTTCATAAGAAGAAATTTTAATCTTAGAAAATAGTACGGACAGATAAGATTTCATTTGCTGTGCTGAAGGAAAGTGGAATATTGCCTTTGTTAAAATGATCCATTAAACAAAATTTTAATGTAGCTGAGTAATAAGTGAGATAATTCTACTTTAATTAAATTTTATAAACTGAGTAAGTGTTACAGTAGAAAACCGTGTGCAACTAATTAATTTTTACCCTAGGATTCTAAGTTTAATCAATTTGAAGTATAGTTGATATCAGATTAAAAGAAGAAAATTGCTTAAGAAGAAAAATGTTTAATGTGTTATCTTAGAATAAAAAGATCACTTGTGAATTGTTTAATCATTTAATCACTAAAATTTTAGAGTGAAATAAGCTTCATTCAAAACATCCTTATGTTAAGAAATTTTTCCACTCAGTAAAAGGAAAATTCAAATTGTAAATAAATTTGAGAGATTTAACTGAAGAAATAGTATATTATTTTTTCATCATTTATTATCCAAAGGCATAAATTTAAATGAATCCTTAACGATTGATGGATTATAACATAGAACCAAAGAATTTTTGTTATAAAAGTAGTTCTTTAGCTTTGTTTGAAGCAGAATTACGAAACTAAAATCATCCTTTTCTTTCCATTCTTCAATGATTTAATTTTATAAATTAATCATAAAAAAGCTAACCTTCATAATCGGGGAAAGCAGTGGTAATATTAACACGTTGAATTTTTTCAGCAAATAAATCTTTTTTATTTAAAAATAAAATTATTGCTGTCGAAAGGAACCATGTGCTGTTACAAATTGATGAAAATAACTGCATCGATTCGATCATACGATTCTGCAATGCTTACAATTAATTAAACCCGAATTTAATTACAAAATTGCACGACGAGATTATTATTCAGACTAAATGATAACATTTAATTTTTTTGATTAATCCAAACTACAAATTTAACTTATAGCAATTCAACTTCAATCTTCTTTAAGCATTTCAGCTAATGAGAGATTTAGCCAAAACTAAAATGGACATTCTCAACGTCTTAAGAAATATACATATTCGACAATGTCAAGTTTGAAATATTTTGCATTCTAAAAATTCTATTTGAAAGTTCGCAAAAAAATTGAAGGTAACATAACAAACTGACTGTAGTTTCATCTTCAAAAAGCACTTGATCATATTCGCTAACAGCAGTGATAAAAATAATCGATTCTACATTATCAAAGCAATGGATCCATTTACGACGTTCTGATCTCTGTCCACCAACATCAAATACTCTATTCAGAAACAAAATTAAAACTTCTTTCTTTTTTAAATTCTTTGTTTCAGTGCTAGAAATCATATCAATTATCAACATTTATGTTCTTGAAAATAAAAAAAATGCAGTGATGGAAAGAGAAAGATTTGAGATTAATTTCATTAAATCTTTTCAATGAAAAATACCTGAAATCAAGTTCCTTTATTTTGAATTTAACTTCTACCACACCAGTTGTTGCTACTCGACTAAATAGGATATCTTGTTCGGTAGGCCGATAACCGGGTTCATGTATTCTCATCACTGAATTCAGGAAACTAAAACAGACCAAACTCAACTACAAAATGATAAAATGCTCATTAACTAGCTTGGCTACTCATCATCCAAGTAAAATTTAAAGATTCTTGATCTAATTAATCATATTTCAATTTATAAATAACGATTCAACACATTACTTATATATATATGTGCTCAGGTAAATCCATTCAGTAAATGAAAATGTAAAACTATAAAAATTAAGCTTTCACTATTTTAATTTCCAATTTATTGTCCTTGTCATTGTTCAAAAATATTTGTAAATTTAAAATATCATCAATCATTAATTTACTATTTTGCAGAGTCGTTGAGCTGATATTCGCTTCGCATATCAGCAGCTTTTTGAACGTTTTCATCATTCCATAGCGATACGAGGGCTTTAGCAAGTTCATCAGTGAATGGTTCAGATTCTTCGCCAGCTTCCACAACTCGAAAAATTATCTCTTTTGTAAGCTGTAACATTCTTTTTTTTTCGTATAATCAAACGGTATAGCTTCTGATAATATTTCATTTTTTGATCTTTCCAATAAATTAATCAGTATTAAATTGAATGAAAGTAAATTGATTGAGAAACTTTTTCTACCGATGATACAGTTGTAGTATATCCGGCATAATTAAATTTGAACTTAATTTGAACTCTGGAATAGTTTACACTATCGACTGCTTTATTTTTTGTCCTTCTTAAGAATCGTAAAAATGGAAACTTAAAGAAAAATTGAATTGTCATAAATAAATGTACCTCTTTAGAAGGATCCTTGAGCGGAAGATGAACAACGTTATCCATTGCTTTTAATATAGCATACATCGATGTTACCGTATTATTGTAAACCACTGCTTTGCGTTCATTAATTTCATCTTCCGTAAAACCGTTACTATGAAGGATTCTGAAAAAGAAACAACAGAGAAGAGGAAATAACATATTTCAATACTGTAATTTCGAAATTAATTAATAAATCGAAATGATTTTTTCTTAATTATTCAAAGAGTTAAAAGTATTTCTATAGAAATCGGTCATTAAAGAGAACCACAATACACTATTAATTTATATTACGAGGATTGAATTTTGCATAAAATTAGACTTGGATTTATCACTAATTTGTGCATCCTGAAGATTTAATTTTTGTTTTTCTCAATCAGAATCATAATAATTCATTTACTTTTCACTCCTCTTATAAGTTATTTAAAGCATTAATCGCATTTTAAAAATTTTGTGATGCATTGAGCATATGAAATTTTTTAACAGAATTTTGAAACATTTTTAAACATAAACGCTATTTCTTATTTTTGCTATAACCGAAAACTAAAAATTTTATGCTCGTTTAATAATAATTATGAGAGAGAATTAATTCTTATATTTAACAAATAATCTTGTTTAATTTCATTATAAACAAAAATTCTAAATTTAAAATAAAAATGTTTTATTTTAAATAATTAGCTCTAAGAAAAAATGGAAAGATTAAAACATACTGCATTTGCTTCAGTATGGTTGATTTGCCACATTCACCAGCACCTGAAAAATGATTAAATAATATAATATTAAGTAAAGTTAGCAAATATCCAATTAGGTTTTTTATCTAATAAAAAGTGAAACAAAACGAGAAATAATTTATTAATTCGTTGAATGATTGACATGATATTATCATTGAATCCGCTGTCTCAGTGTCTAACTTATTTTAACAATTCTATCCAATTATTTTAAATGCATTACTAAAATCAACAACAAAAAGTTTAAGGAAAAACGATTGATTTTATTAACGGTTATTCAGGATTAGTAAAATGTTTACCAAATTCTTGTCCATTCGTTCATGAATTATCTTATAACAAGCAAAAATTTTAAATAATTTTGTTAAAAAAAATGACGCACATTACAAAATTATTTTTAATCATTTTCAACAAAGTGATAATTTGAATACGAATTTAACTAAAATTTCAAGTTTTAATGAATACTTTTTAAACTTGTCAATTTGAAGAACTTTTAAATATTAAGTATAGGGTGAGAAAACTAATTTTTCAATCTATATAATAAGCCATTGATTATAAAATAATTTTATTTTATTTTGCTTGTAAATGGGAATTTTATTATAAAAAGTTTTGAAAAATAAAAAATTTTATTTCGAACATAATGAAGTGACAAAATTTGTACAAAGCTAGACCATTAAATTAGAGATTGAGAAGTCCTAAATAATACTAATATTCGAAAAAGAAAAAGAAGAAAAGAAAACGAACCGAGTAATAACAGTTTGACGATCGAAGAGCCAGTACGCTTATCCTGATTGAGTTGCTTTTCGATAGCTTTATTCCGAGCGAGCTGCTCCTGAGCTTCTTGACTCTGACATGAACCCATCGTTTCGCATTTATATACAAACTTATATTCTCGCCAAATTAGAAAGGCCCCTTTTAATAGATAATTAGCTATTACACTTCAGGCTTGACTTACATAAGCTATTTCGATACAATTCACAACCTAAAATTACACTATTTTATTAAATTTTTTCATCATTTTAAATGTATAGCAAAAATGTCCTGCTGAAGAATGGAGAAGAATTTTGTAAAAAGAAATGATTGAAATGATTAAATGGAGAGAATATTTTATTGGAAGAAGAGAGTAATTATCCGGAAAAACAGTAAAAAAAAAATGAAATTTGAGGTGTAGGAAGTGAACAGACGTTCAATTTATTGAAATATAACATGCAAAGATAAAAAAATGTATTAGATTTCGCTTCTCACAAATTGCTACCGATTGTGCAGTACCTTAGTAACGGAAAGTCAACTGAAATGTGGCTTATTGCATTACTTATTTTGCGTAAATCTATGATTAAATAGACAAACAGACACATAGACTAGCAAATAAGAAAGAATTGAAAAATTTGAAAGGTGATTAATGAAAGTTGGCAAGTTCAATAAATTAGTAGTAAATTGTTAAAGATTAAAGCTTGCATCAGAAAATAAATTGGCAAATGGAAGCAGAAATAAAAAAGTTTTTTCTGTTTTTTTGCTTTGGTATGATCTACAAATTTTAAATTAACTTATTAGAACGCGTTAGAAATCATTTGCTTCATGAAAAGACAAATTGCTGTCACTAATTTTAGTCACAGCTTTAGCAAACATTGATAAGCAACCTTCGTTCTGATCGATCAACTTATGATCATCTGACAAAATTTTGCTAAATTAATTGATAAAAGAACGAAAACTCATCTTTGTAGCAAATGAACTAAACAGATAAAAGCGGTAAGATTAAATGATACGAGAATGATAGATTGAAAATAGTATAAAGCCTAAAGGGACTACTTTTTAACGATTATACAGGATAAAACAATAAATCAATCATTATAAATAACTGACGGTTTTTGAAAAAATCATAGCAAAATGTCAGAATTTGGAAAATAAGTAAACCGTAATAAAGCAAAATGTTTGTTGTTGATATTATTTGTACTCAAATGATTTTCAAGTGATCAAAACAAATTTCTTGAAAAACAACTTTCATCTTTCTAATGTTTAAAATCTCAGATTGAGCTTTTCAAGCTTTTAAATTTGTTTTAGGATGAGATTATATAAGGTAAGAATCAGATTATCACCTTTATCAAATAACCTAAAATATCATTCTCAAAAATTAATCTATTAATTAAGCTGAATTCATAGTTTTAGGCAAATATTGTTTATATTTAAAAAAAGAGATTATAAAAAAAATTTTTTATCCATAGGAATAATATTATAATAGGCTGTAAACATTGCGTATTCGTGCTGTGGTTGTGATCTGAGAAATTATCACAAAAGGATTGGTTCCTTTCTTAATTCAATTAATTACAGAAAAGTATTTGCTTCCACCTGTAAGATAATGTCCTACAATCAAAATCATAATACTAGATTTGAAATTCTATTAATTGGAATTTCAATTTTAATTGATTCACGAAAGTTACAAATTCCAGAATTCTAGAAAATTAGTAAATTAATAGAATTTTAATTTGAATTGATTCATAAAAATTATAAATTCTAAAAAGTGTCAGCAAATTAGAATTATTTTTCAAAAAGATTAGAAAATAAATTTACTGAAATCATCGATAATATTTACTATTTAATATATTCCATTAAATGTCCACTGATTTTATCACAAATGTTGGCATTACAAAAAAAGTTGGGAATGGTGCTTCCATTACTGTTCGAAGTGGAAATCATTACTGATAGCGCATGTGAAGTAATAAGTTTTTAAATTAATTTTAAATAATTTTAAAACAGTTATAAATAACTTGAAGTGCATAGCTTCTTCTGACAATCCCAATTTTCATTGCAAATACACCTCAAAATAAGAAATTATAAAATAAGATTAATCATCATATATCACAAAATGAATCATTTCGCTAGAAAATTTTGATTTAAAGTTAACCACCGATTTCAGTAAATGCTTTAAAAAAAATTTTCCTTATTTGTTAATATAGCTGAGATCTTTTATGGAATTAAGCAGGCAGAATTTTATAAAACCAAACTTGTAAAATATTTTCTGAAGTATTTCTTATTAAAGTAAATTAATTGAATTCAATTCTACCAATCTTAATTTTCTTTATATTACACCGAAGTTGAGAATAGAATTTTGTTCCTCGCATATAAAGCTATCAATATTTTTAATGCCTACTGGAGGTTAGAATCAAATAATTTGTTACAAACGACAAATGAATAAAAAGAAATAAATTTAATAAATGGAGCTAAACTCTTTCGCCAAACTTATATTTTGCAAATGTGATCAAATACAAAAGAATTTCGATACATTTGTGTTTTTCAAGTTCTTGAAATGTAAACTGAAAAATGTTTTATGAAAAATAGTAATTTTGAAATAAATAAGACTGAAAGACGAAATTTGTTAGAAATTATATTTCATTTAAACTTTTAAAGTATAAATATTAATAAAAGTATTCATATTAAAATCTTTTCGAATTATAATCAAAATGCATAGTTTATCAGTGCATTTGATTTAGAAACTCATGTAATAGGAAGTTTAAATGTTACGATTAAATTTTATATTAACACATTTAATTATTTGAAATAGAAAATCTCATTAGTAGTCTTGCTCACGAAGATATAAATAGCTCTATTTAGAATTGAAAATGAATTTATGGATGGATATGGCAGAGGATAAAAGCACTTCAGATTTCTCCACTCCTACTCATTAAATTTAAAAAATTGAATCAATTAGCTTTTTTTATTATAAATCAACAAATTATTTTAACATGAAGAGCACACAGAGTACCAAATATTCATTTAGAAATCATTCACAGATAATACTTTATATTTCTTATCATTTAAAAAATTAGAATTATAATAAACTGAAATTGCGCTATTTATTCTGCAATACCACTTATATTGTCATCTTTTGAGAAAGAAAATATTTAATGAATTTAATGAAATTTTTGAAATGATATTTAGTTGATATGAAAAAGGCTTTAAGAATGCTCTCTCTCACTTGCAATATAGCTATAACAAGTGGTGTGGAATTTTTCCAACTGCCACAACAAATAATATGAAATGAAAGTGTATGGAGTGATTTTATGAGTTATAAGGAAGATTCGGTAACCATAGGGATGAGGTACGAATGAGCAAAACTCAACCGGTGAGTGAATGTGGTGAAAGGTGAGCAGGTAACGTTATTAGCTTCATTAATAGCTTCTCATTCAACTCATTCATCCATTCATTTAATCTTTCTGCTATCCTACAACAATTGGACATCAATTAATAAACAAACTTGTAATATTTATTTATATTTTTCGTTAACACTTTGAAAAGATGCAACAAATATTTCCCTACCATCTCAATTATCGATAATCAGAAATTTTTACAATGAAATTCTTATATTTGATACATGTATCAAGAACAAATAGGATAGAGATTATTTATTTCACACTATTTTTGATCAAACGGTTGAAGTAATTTGAAATTTTCAATAATTTTCATTCATTTAGATTAATTAAATTATCGGAATATATTTTAAAAAGTGTAATATTTAGCAAACATCTTACATTAAACGTTTTGTGATTTAAAATTTGTTCCAAAATATTCATTCAAATGATTTTTTGAGGTTCTTTCATGATAATATTATTTTAACATGATAATATTATGTTATTCATTTTTCTTTCTCTCAAGTATAGCCTAAAATTTTAATATTATGTTTTCTTATCCATTTTAAATTAATTTTACTAGCATTTTCTTATATAGATTAACGATTTAAAACAATTTTATAGTAATCTATTGTCTTGTTTTTTATGAGTCTAATTAATTAAAGTGCTATGAGATAAAGTATAATTGGATAACAGCATACTAATGAACATAGCAGCTATAAATATATGAGATAATTTAATGATGAATCAGAAATCAGTGGTAATGCTACTTACGAACTGATTTGAAACTTTAATTAAATCTTATTTATATGCAATGATTATACGATATTAAAAATATGAATATTTATCATTTATCAAATAACTAATATATAAAAATGAGGAATGAATAAACTTGACGTATGAAAGAGTGAAGTTTTTTTATGAAAAAGTAAAGTTTCAACAAATTAAAAAAAGAAAATATATTTATTTTGAAAACCATAAACAAACTTGTATACACACACTAAAAATAAATATCTGATCGATAAGTCGGTGGAGAGCAGGCGAGTAGAACAGTTAATTTGAAATGACTATATTTTCGATCATATTTAACAATTCGGATGCAGTGTTGAAGCAGGAAATCCATTCAAAAGGAAATGAGTAGCAATTTTTCATGCACTCTCGTGGATTTCGAAGTTTTAAAGAGAGCTGTTACGATGACGTTTTGAATATTAATATGAGTTATTAAAATAATTAGAGCATATTACAACTATAATTTTAACTTGGTTCACATTAAAATCTTTAAGCTTCAATATTTAATTAACAAATCCTTCAGGATGTTTAAAAATTTCGGCCGATTCTTTCATAAAAAAATTAAAAGACTTCATAAAGAAGTCTTTTAATTTTGAAGAAATAATAATGAAAAAATAGCCTGACTAAAAAATTGAATGCAAATTTCACTCTATCACAATTATTAAAATTTAATTAGTCTGAAAATGCTTGGAAAGAGAAATTCGAATTTGGTATTATTTCAAATATTAAAAGCTTATTTAAGCTAATTTTTTTAAAAACATTTTTCTATTTCTTCATATCTTAGCTTTGATATGGACGAATTTTCATGATAGTGTATATTAAGCTATCAAATAAAAAGTACAGAAAACATTTGAAAGTCTTTCTAACAACGATGTAACACAATCTGTGTAGGAAACTTAAAAGCTCAATACTTTAAATTCCTCCTAATTTCTCGTTTGCCGATCATAAAATTATTTCTAGAAATTTAATTCCATAATTAAGTGCTTGCTAATCAGAGAATGTAGCCGGTTGACAGCTTTATATCTGCGCGATATGATATTATCACCAGTACAGAACAATATATATCGGTACAGATACAGCAAGTAATCATATTTGCTGGTGATATTCTTCTCAGAGCAGTTCATTCTACCTTTATAGAGTAAATTTGAAGAAATTAATTTAAATTACCACGTTAATTAATTAAAATCCCTGTTTGTACATCAATTTTCTGCCTTACCTTTCCTTAAATATGCGAAAATTCCAAATACTTTCAAAAGAGAAAAGTATGAAAATCATATAATGAACGATTTATCGGTACAATCTCATTTCCGATACAATTGCAATTTGTTTGCACAAATCATAAAGAAACGTGACAAATCTTAAATTTGTAATGAAATTACATTTTTCATCTTTTTTGTGGCAAATTTATTTTTGCTACCTGTTTAGTTTGCATTACAACATCATTTCAAATATTGTTATAATTTTTTGTTAACAAAAAGAGTTTCCACTTTTTTGCTTCTTTGTAAGTTTTATTTACGACTTACCAAGAACGGTAACCATGCATATATTTGTCATTTTTCATTTTCTGTATTAAAACTAATTTCGATTTAATAAAATAATTTTGAATCAAAACTTTTGAAAAATAAAAAAAATGAAATAAAATGAAGGCATATTACTGATTTCAACAGTACGAAATTTTTCTATTATTGTTTCCGTCTAACTATTACTTAATTGGGACAGTGCATAAACAATAATAAATTTTAACTCAAGACTAGAATAAAATTTCCAATTTCTATTTGAAATTGAAATCATTTATAATTAAAATTTCGATGGAAATGACTGCGGCAGAATCCTATCACTGTGCAATTATTGGAAGTGCTAATAAAAGTAAAAATAATTTTCCAATGATTTGATCAATAAACTAAAAAAGGAGATTACTTTCATAAATGCCACCTATTGTGTTTTATCTTAGAAGTTTGTAAAATTAAAAATGGCATAAAATTAATAACGTATAAATTAGCCGCAATTATTTGCTTGAATATGAAAAATAAAAGTGATAGATGTGACAGAAGCGTATTTTGTGATTAATTGAGGCGAAAAAAATAAATATGCTCCAATTTATATCATAAATTTCAATGATTAAAGAACGTCAAGTTTGCATCAATCCTATGGAATTGTATGATATATGGCTAATGATTGCTTAACTATTCTTTCCTCTCATCAATGCATTATTCGCTTCGACAATATCAAACAGTATTATTTACTTTGTGAATATTTGAAAATTATGATCATTTCTGAATTGAACTGAATTGCTAAACTTCAGCAGTATTGTCGATCAATTTACTATTTGCTTGAATTATGGAAAAGTAATAGATCAATGTGAGAGAAGCTAATATTGAAATAGTTATGTCAATAAAATCATTTGTACCAATTGCTACGTTTAAAATTTATATGTACAATATTTTGAAAATTGACATTTCAAGAAGATGTTAAATGCACTGTGATAAAATAAAAAAAAAAAACAAACGAACGTTTTGATTGATATCTTTCAAGAACAATCTTAGAAGAACAATTTTTTTGCGCAATTTGTAAAAAAACTTAAAAAATTTTAACAATTTTCTAAAGAATATATACTTTTTTCATTTCACTTACTTGAGAAAATTATCAAAGAATTTATTTTGATATAGCCAAAATGAAAGGAAATTTTTTGCATGATTAACCAAGTCATTATATTTATCATATCAATTATTTCACATCTCATATAACTTCATACTTCTTTTTTTCCAAATTCCCATTTAAATGATTTAAAGTTGCTGTAAAAATTCTGATCCTCCTTTTTTTGCACGTCGGATTAATTTCACTAATTGTTTAAAAGTGCTGTTGGGCTTGATAAAAAATTTAATGCGTAAAAGTTCGAATTATTTTTGACAATTATTACTTTCCCTCGATTCGATTTAGAAATATCGGACGTTGAACATTACAAACTGCACAGTAAAATGATATCACGAAGAGTTTTTTCTTTTTTTTTGTCAATTATTTCAGCAAATAATAAATGGTGGATGAGAATAAAAGGAGAAGTGTGCGTGGAATGAAGTACAGGTTCAAAATTTTTCGGTAAGGGAAAAAAAAGCATTTGGCAAAACGTTGATTAATTTGACAAAATATCACACCGGTTTTGTGTGATTGCTTTTTTACATATTACCGCTCGTCTCAGAAACTAGCTGGCCTACTGCAATCTAATGATGATGTAGCACCGTGATATTTACCTTACTTCGATAATTTTTATTTCATAATTTTAATTTATGAGAATCTCAATTTGATGTAACCAAAGCAAAATTAGCATATGCTGGTCATCTACTACAAATACACCAGGTTAGCGATAGACCATTTCATTCTCATCGGTTTTATCGATTCTTTTTTTAGTGCAATTCATAATCCTGCATAATTTTAAAAAGCGATTAAATTTGCACATAGCTTAATTTGTATCAAAAAACAAATTTTTGTTTCAATCATAATTGCTAATAAAACTGCAAAAAAAGCAAATAAATAAATCAAACAAATTTCAATATTATATGGTTATCTAAAAGAACTGAATATTGTTGTCTAATTAATTTCAAATATTTGAATCACAGTGACAAAATTTATGAAGATATTTTAATTTTATCCATTTCAAATTTTCGCTCAAATAGTTTCCATTTCATTTCAAGTTAGTCTTAAATCTTTTTTTAAACATTGTAGCAACTTTTTTTGCACAATTATATGCAATTATTATTAATCATTATTTCTCTGAAATGAGCACATCATTTTCATATACCATGGAACATTTCAAATCTAAATATTCTGATTTTGTAAATTTTTCTATTTCTTCGTTTCATAACGGTCTAAAATTTAAATTCTAGTAATTTAAAAAATAATCGAAAAAATGTTTTTAAGGAAATATCAGAAAAAAAATTAAAAAATTAGAAAAGGATACTAACGATTATTGCTTAAAAATGGATACTTTTTGTGAATTTTTCCTTTTAAATTAAACCACAGTTTCTCGAAGGTACATAATGTTATTTGAAATCTGTCAATAAAAGTACAAAATTGATAATTAAAATAATATATTTAGAAAAATGTCATGTAAGGAATACATTAAATTTAATTTTTTTTTGCAAAGCAATCATTTCATTTTAATTTGCTTTTTAAAATATATGTGATAAATAATCATTTTAAATTATGCTTGCTGAACATAACAATTGTGGTCAGTGTTTCCTATTTATGTGTACAAAGAACTAACTGATAATTATCCAATTGCTTCACAAGGAGAAAAAATCAACATTTGAAATAAATAATTTAAAATTCGAAAATGATTTGTTTATATAAAAAGAAAAATGAAATTAAATTCGTAAAATAACAATGGGAGAGTGGCAAAATTGAAATGATCCTATTCAATAGCAAAGCTAAATCTTTGCCTCAGTGAAATACTTTTTGATTTAGCTCATATCTTTTGATTTCTAATTAAATTAATTAATTCATAAGGCTGAACAGGTAAGTTAATGCTTGCGTTACAAATTAAAATAAAACCTAAATTGATAAAAAACCATCGTATTTTAAAGGAACATCATTTGTTGGAAATATTTTTGGGGGAAAAGTATACAAAATTTGCTTATAAATTTATGTCTTTAGCGCAAATTGACACTTTCACATATTTTGTCATATTTATCATAAAATTAATGCGTTTTCATTAAATTAATTTTCTTTCTAATTTTTATCATCAAAGAGAAGAAAAAATAAAAATTTCGAGAAGAATAAGAAAATTTATTGATTATTTTTGCTGTAAAATTTTATTACCATTTGAAGATTTCATAATTTTTCATGGATAAATTTTGAAGTGTCAAAACTAATTGTTCGATGTTAATTACTCAGTTAAATTAACTATTTTATTAATTTTTGCTATGCAAAAGAAAAATTTTTTTGAACAAATATATACATACACATTATTAATGCATGACATTCAATTTAAATGTACAAATTTTTTTGTATTCAAAATACAAACAAAATGGATTAGTTAATTCATAAACAATGCACATTTTCACTTTGTGTTAAAAAAAACACAACAGCACTTTTAATGTCTCATTGAAGGCTTCCAAAAATCAGCTTTTTGAAACATCTGAACATAAAAATATTTGACATACAAAAAAATCAAAAGCTCAACCCTGATTTGAGATGATAGAAAGTATTATCCAAAAAAAGATAGCAAAAATTTAGAAATCAATCAGTGCAAGTGTTAATTATATAATAATGAAATTTGAAATCGATTTGACAATTTTTATGTGAAGACATTGTAGAAATGGTTTTGAAGTGAGCAGTTATTAAGTGAGGTATTGTATTATTAGTACCAGATATAAACAATAATTAAAATTGAAAAATTATGCTTATCAAAGTTATCATCAACTGTAAATAATTTGTATGAAATCAAAATAATTATCATATAATACCAAGGTATAATCAATAATTAAAATTGCAATGGTTATAGGCTCATTATAGTCATATTGTCAGCTGTAAATAATTTGTATGAAATGCGCAGATAACTAATTTTTTTATTTCAACGACGATCGATAGTGATTCAGATACATTGAAGCTCTTAAAAACTAAAATTTTAAATTAGAATCGAGAATATGAAGAAACATTGATAGTATATTCTATGTTAATATAACGATGAAGATAATGAATTATATCCTGATGATGATTGCGATGACATACGTTCACGCCATGGGATGTATTTTTGAATGGTTATCTTTAGTAAGTTTAGATCAGCAGATTCGATAGAATCATCGCGAAAATATTCCAGAGAATGCCGCCTTGAGCTTGCGTTACTGCTACTGTTGCATTCTTCAGCAATATCAGCTTCAATTCCAATATCCTCCTCAACAATATCCCATGCCATTTCATCCTTCCACCAATGTTCCGCAATTGTTCCGGTCAGATATTTTTGATACATAGCATCTAATTGATCGGACTGATCATGTGTGAAGTAATTCTTCCAATCTCCACTTCCACCCTTTCGGATGAAAATATTCTGTCGTCTAAAAATTATTAAATTTAAATTGTTCAAATGCGGAACAATTAATAGCAAACGGAGAAAGGCTTGTTTCATTTTTTTTTTTTTGGGAGAGGGGGAGAGGAGGGGAAGAGGTATTATCAAATTATTTTTATTATTTTGATTAATTGATGTCAGAAAGATAATGTCACACAAGTCTGCACTTCTTTTACAGCATCGACATATTGCCAAAAAGAAGTAATCAATCAAATCGCACATGGTATTTTTTATCATCTGCAATCGATCCCATCTTAAAAATAACCTTTAACTCTTTTTTAACTGATTTTTTTTTTTTTGAGAAAATGACGTGAGTTTTAAAACGGCCACTGAACTGTAGCAACTCGTTCATTTCGCTTCTATCAGACTGACAGCAATTTATCAAAAATACACGGAACCCATTGCTGTTATTTGTGCGATTCGAGAAGAAAAAGAATGAGTTTTTTCAAAGTTAGTGTATATCATCGATGATAATATTTTAAGAATTTTAAAATTGTTTAAAGTTTAATTTAAAAATTAATTAAAAATTTACAAACTATTTTCTGGAAACCATCGCCACTGATCTTTTTTCATAGATTTGATCGTACTGTTTGCAATAATTTGACTTAGTACAGCTTCATTTTGAACATTTTTTGCAGCTTTACCGCCCAAAAATTCACCAATCTTTACAACAGCCTGCCTCAAATCGGCGCACATGTCCTCGTATTTCAAAAAGAGCACATTTTCATCGTTAATATGTGGAAGCCAACTGAGCAGATAATCAAAATAGTTTCCAAATGCGATGTCCTTTGTCAGGAAAAGTTGAAAAAAAACAGAAAAATCACCATGCTCGTAGTTGTAGATTTTGAAGTTTCGATTGTGAAAAAAGTAGCTGAAATTTGAACTCATTAGTTTAAAGTTAGAGCAAAAAAAAAGAAAAAATTTCATTCAGTTATTAATTTTTGCAAACTCTTAAAATCATTAAAGAAAAAAAACTAGAAGCTAACCTTGTAAGGCAATCTTTTGGATTTCGAACAGCAAGAATATATTTGGCATTGTTATTTTTTGGTATATTATGCCATGTAAAATGTGTTTTCAATAATCTTGGCGATTCTAAATTATCAGCAAACTTTGCACCCATTCGTTCAATCATTGGACTTGTCATGCACAATTCTGAAATTGGCTAAAAATTAGAAAATAGGCTCATATGGCTAAATAAATAAGAGATAAATGAAAATGACACACTTTACCTTGTCCAACTTGCGGTCCATAATTATCAGTGAGTAACTGTGAGCAAATATGTTGTATCCATGTGGTACCACACTTCGGATAAGTGCAAATAAAAATGTCATTATCACGTGGTGTCATAGTTTTTGCACTTCTGAAAACAAAAGAAAATAAAAAAAGAAAAGTTCTTTAAATTTCTTCAATGATTTATCAATTTAAAAAAAAAAATGAATTTAAGGTATTCATTGTATCAGAAATATAAATTTGAGATTTTCTCTGTTCTTCAAATTATACCTTAGAAGTTCAGGTTTAAATACAGGTGGCCAAATTTCGTTATCAATGCAGCATTGCTTAGGTTGGCCGTTCAGTTGAAAAACAAATGCATCTGGATGAATTTCCAGGCTACAGGATGCAGAAGTTGGTATATGTTTGGCTGTGGGTAAATCGATCCCCTCGATTTCCAGTTTACGATTATATTTATTTGTTGGAGCCATTTCAAATGAAACAAAATTTTCACGTCTTTATGATCACGCACTAATAATATATGCGAATAGTAATACTGTACTACTAAGTAATAGCAATAGGAGTAGTTGTAATATTGATAACAGTGATATCAATGTAGTAGTGAAGGAGTATGTAAACTTGTTAATTAAATTATACCGGGGTTGCGTGTCCTTTAAATATATTCAGTGGGGACGGAAACCCTCAGATGTTGCCCCAGGAATGTGTGCCGCCCACAAACAAACGTCCGATAACACCGCCCATTGTGGAGAAATCATTTAACCCTCACCATGTGCCCTGGCGACTTGATTCTTCCACCCACGCTAACGACAACTGACTGTGATGGCTGCTGGAAGATTTTTTCTCGATTGAAACTTCATAAACAAACAAGAAAAGAGCGAGTGAAAGAATGTGACAAAACGCATTAAAAGTCTCAATTGAAATGTTTGTTTTAAATAATTTCCCGAAATTACTTTAATTATAATAAGAAATTATTTCTTAAAAAGCTGAACTATTTTGATAACTTGCATTGAAATTTTAATTGTAAATATTATTGATAAATCCTCAACTAAATTTTGATTTGGGTCATTTTTGGCTTATCCGAATTGTGTGGAAAATTGTTCATCATATTAGTCTTATTTATATGGACAAATTATCGGCAATAAATTATCTAACAGATGATAAGAGTGATAGCTGATTTCAATAAAACAAAGTGAATGATCGTTGAGTTATTATTAATCAAGTTTAATTGGCATGAATAATGAGTAATTAATTATCCAGCATACATGCTGCTTCTGGATTAATAAGACTAATTTTGTCATCAGTCAAGTTTATTTTACATATTCAATGGTTAGATCATTGATAGTTCAAATGACTTAATTTGAACTTATAAGAAATTATTGTACTTTTGGCAGAATGCTTTTTTTTTTCAAATCTCCGTTCTCATTTCTCTTCTTTGCTTCATCCATTTTGATCAATCAAAGGAGGTCATCAAATTTTTTGAAAATTTCATGAAATAAACAAAATCAGTTCTACTTTTATATCACTACTTTCAATGTATCATTGAATGATGAAATCAGAAAAGAAGATGATATCACACACTTTCTTCTTTCTTCGCTTCCTCTCTCCCTCTTGCTCTCTCATCATTTTACCGTAAACAATTACGCTTTAAAATTGTTCCTAAAATTTGCAAGTAACTGAAAACAAAGTCGTCAATTCCATTAAAACAAAATCGAAATGATCACCAAATGTTACTTGACAGGTACAGAAAGGATTTACTCATTTATTCTATTCACTCCATCACAAAATTTACATACACAAAAAAACATTAATTGAAATGTTCTAAATAAGCAATGCTAATAACAATGATAGTAATACTATAGTTCCAGTCGTTAATTTTGAAATTTCGAGAAATTTGCAAAAAAGAGCAAAGCATTGAAAAGAAGACAAAAAATTATAATAAAATATAAAGCAAATTGAAATATCGGGACAAACAATTAAAATAACTGAACTTAATATTAATTTTAACTCTTCTAATTACTTCACAAGGTAATACTTCAGCAAGAATACCAGTAATTTGTAGCGCATTCTGTGGGAAAGTAAATAAAAATTTACCAGAATTTTTGCTTTTTCTTATTTTCAATTTTTCTTGAAAGACATATCCGAAAAGTAAAACAGTGCAATAATAATTCAACTGTTAATTATAAAAAATATTTGTATAAAGTATTTCGGTCTATCTGTCCTCGAAATAATAGATGCATAAGCCTTACTTTTTCAGCATTTTTTTTTGCATTTAAAATGCATTATAAAAAAAGTGCTAGAAAAAAGCTGAAAAATTTTGAGATGTTTCATAAAAAGTGGAGCAAATTTTAAATTACTAACAATTATTTGATGCGAAAGGGAAAAAATGTCATTTAAATGATGACCATTTGGCCATTCACGTCCATAATTTTCTTCCACGCATCGCAAACATTCACGCGATAGCAGAAATTTCCAGTTTGATTTTTGTTCTTTAATCGTTTTAGTGTTCAAAACCGTTTTGTTGAAACAATTTTGAACTATAAATTCTTAAAAAAAATTCTGAAAAAGCTTGGCTCATTCGGTTTGTTCTTTTGTAGAAATAAATGGTTCAAAGAATCAAATAAAATATTTGATTGCATGAACAATTTTGTACAATGATTTTGCTTCCGATTTTTCTTTTTACTTTTAATCAGTTTCATTTCAAACTTGATATTTACTCATTTATTTATATATTTATACATTAATTCAGTTCCTAGAAAATGTTATGTTTCATTTTTTTTTATTTTCATAGTTTAAAAGAAGATTGTTGGAATATTATACGATTCCAGGAAGTTTTTTTTGAGAAGAAAACTTAACCATAAGATTGATTTTTAAAATTTGTTTGAAAAATTCTTTGAAGTGCAAAATGCACTATGTTGATAAAACACGATTTATATGATACAAGATAATGAAAAAAACTGCAATGCACTTTTACGTTTAAAATCCTTACCTGAAAATTTTCCTAAATTCCATTTTATTTTCACTTTGTGCATATTAACTTCAATCATTTCTTCATCCTACCGTTACATGTTATCGTATTTATCATAAAATTTTTTATATAATAGTTAATTTTTCGATTTCTCTATAAAACAAGCAGATTAATTTCCCGTTCTGAAAATGGTCGTCATGAAGATATGAGTCATTTTAAATACTTAGCTGATGACTCATTCATAAAAAAATTTATGATGAATAGTAGCAGTCTCATGACAGAATTCTGAATGTCTAATAAGTGACCTTTGTACTATCATTTCAGCTATGATTTTGATAAAAATAATAATCGATGAATTCTGACAAATTAAAAAAGCTAAAGAAAAATTACAATAGACGGAAAAAGCTGGTAATTATGCTACATGAAAGGAAAAGCGAAAAAAACACGTGGAGAAATGTTGACAAAGTGACAATTACATGTAACGAATTGAAAATTGTTCCGGAAATCCGTACAAATCACTCAATCTCACTCAAAGGTTACAACTGAATACGTTGCTAATCTTATACTATCTGACAAAAGTCAATCATAATATTTCGAGCTCATTTTCACCTTTTCAATTATTTTCTTAATTATTTTCTTTTTAAATTGTGCTCACAAAATGAAGTGAAAAGAAATGATGTTATGTTAAATTAACGTATAAATATTTTCATTTGAATATAATGAAGCAGTCAATATACTTTATTTCAACAGAAGCAAATGCCAATGTAACTTTTCAGAGGAAATGTCAGTACAAAATTTCACTTTCACTGTATAATGGTATTCGGTAAAGTTGACCAGCCAGTTGTCACGAAAGGGTCACGATTTTTCCAATCAGTGTGACCTCATGATTTCTATTACAATCGCTACTGTTGATATATTTAAACATTACTACTGCAAAATGATGATGTTTACCAAAAATTGAGCGGAAGTATCATATGAAATAAAATATTCATTCTATTGGAAACCAGTTCGAGAAAACTATATCGAGCGTTGTGAATGTCAATGTGTGCATTAATGCAAAATTAAATATGAACTTCGAACTGCTCCATCCTCATATTCCTTACTGGTCAATAATAACATCTTGCATATGAACAATTATGCTTAAATTGATAAGAGTGATAATTATTGACGATGTAATCAACAAACGTTTGATGGTATGAATAGCAATAATAAGAGAAGTTGAAGAAAATGAATGAGGGAAGTACTTTGTTCATTTTAACATTTTATTTAAAATTTAGTAATGGAGGAAGTGAAAATAGATTTAAAATCGAAGTTGATAAGATTGAATCAGATTATGCAGTAAATAAAGAGCTGCATAACAGATCAAAAAATTCTTCTCCCTTAGTTTTTTTAATCGTTTTGTTTCTCTTTCATACTTCGCTTTGCCTCTCTTTTTTATTTCAATAATTTTTGCACTGTAACTTAATAATGATCTTAAATTGAAAATTTTTTAGTCATTTTTTAATGATAATGATCTTAGATTGAAAAATGTTTATACGTATTTTATGATTGAAAATTTTTTGGCAGGATTTATTCAAAAAATTTACTAAAATTGTAGGCCATTTGTTTAGGAAATCATTTCTTAAACGAAATAACTGCATACGCGTAGATAATTTCAATTATTATATCACATACTGTTAATGCTATTATTTTTATAAAAGAAAACTCATGTTAGGGTTGAAGTTCACTTGTAATCTTTAGTGAATATATATGAGTCATACGCCAAATTAGTTTATTCATCTATCGAGAATAAAGCATTGTAAAGTTGCTCAAAGTTTTCAAGAATAATTGTAAGAGAAAATGTCACGTTACTTTTCATTACATCATGTTCTAAAATTTCTATTTGTCATTGTTGTAGAATGTGAAAATAACTTGTTATAAAAATGACGTCATTATTTTCAATAGTCATATCAAAAGGTCAAACTAAAAAGAATGTTTAGCAGTGAAATCGTTTGCTGACAGTTTGATCTTTGCTGTCAGCATGATAATGATGATGAAAGTTCGTTCTATCTTTAGAAAACATCTCCACTACACTCCTCCCTCCTCCTTTATTCCATTCATTTGTCATGTCACTGCCGTGAAGTAACTCCAAAACGATCTGTGGTTCTTCCCAGCCAGTTCAGTGAAATATTTCATCAGACTGAGAAATATTTTAATCTTAGCGCTCATAGACAGACAAACGACACTTTTTAAGCCACGTGGCTTGTCAATTTTGGAATTCGGCCAACAAATATTGAATTTTTTGCATTGAAAAACTTCCGAATAGGAATAAACAAGTGAGTACGTGTGGACCCACACGCGTACACATACGCACAGAACAAACACATATTTGTAACATACAGGAATTATTAGTAAACTAATGATGGTTAGAGTATTGATAATGAGACAAGGAGTTATAAAAAACAGCAAAGTAAAACTTTCTCACTCAAATATTTAAAATCCACTCGATATTCTATTTCATTTTTATCGGTAATGATAGGTAGCATTAATGTTATGATACGATGTAAAATCCTGTAAGTGTTAATTTAGCTTTATCGGAAAGTTTTATTTAATTGGAAAGATTAATTCAGATAAAAATAATGTAGCTGTTAGCTTTGGAAATAATTCGTATTTTTATTGTGAGATTAAAGACGAATTGAGAAACAGCGCAAAATGCTTTGAAGGATAGCATTAGAAATGTTAAAGAAGCAATGACAGATGAACTTTTCCATATTAAAAGAGATTGTTGAGAAAATTACACAATAGTAATTGTATAAAACAATTTTGTCTTAAAGCCTGCTAAATGCTAATTTCAAAATTATCAGTTTCGCCAGTCACATTCTGCGCTGCAGTTAACATGCAGGATTGGTTGCATATATGCTATGCATTGCATATTAGAACCGCAGATGTATTTGAATTTAAACTGTGGGTTACAAGGTCATCATTGCATGATTGAAATAACTGTTGTTTCGGAATATCAGCTTAATATCTAATCGAATATTCATTGATGAAGACGATATGATGCTAATGAAATTTATGGGAGCTATCAAAGGAAGAAAATGAAATTCTTGGAGTATTTTATATTTGTCAATTTGAAAAAGATTTGATTATATTTTGCATGTTTCTTCCGGTCTTTTCACCAAAATTCAGAAATTTTTTAATTCTAATTAAAAAAAACAATTAACATATTTCCTCTTGCTTTTTTTTTAAATTTTATTGAATATAATCTATTAATGCCAGACATACAGTTGCTGTTCAAATGCATTGAATAGAAAAGGGTCGTACGTTATTTATGACTGACTCACCACCGTACACCCTTCTATTGCATCATTTTTCGTCATCCATTTGTCGGGAAAAAAAAAAATTAAAATTTCAACAATGCCTTGCTGATTGTATTTATATGTAAACAAAATATTTTAGTAATTAATTGTTCAATTGTCCATTCAGTCAGTCGATTCACCATTCATTTAATCAATTTAATCAGTTCATCATTTATTGATAATTTTATCATCTTTATTGCTTAAAATTACGAGGAATATTGTTGTCTGAGATACTCTCCCGGCGCTATCATTTTACTCTAATATTATGAGGCCTTCTGATGTATACATAAATTTAAAGTTTTCCTTCTTATCACCAACTTTTTAGATTCGTAGTAATCTCTCTCTTTCTCTCTCTCTCTTTCTGTTTTAAATAACAAAAATGAATAGCATCTTCTCAAAGATGAATTCTCAGACTACCGTTCATAGAAAGAATGACCAGCAATTCTCAGTATTTCATATTTCTCAGTAAAACCATTTCGACTAATTATATTTTTACGCGTTTTATAGTTTGCAGAAAACGCTCAAAAAAAGGAGAAGCAAAAATGAAAATAATGTTTAATATTTCCAAAACGATTTTGAAACTTCCTTTGATTATAAAGCGGCAATAGTATCATGAATAATATCTATTTGCCGCAAACAATATTCTTCGAAATTTTAAGCAATGGCAAAATTGTCAGTGATTGATTAACTAATTAAACTGATTAAATGAATGATTGAATAATTGAACAATTGACTGCCAAAAGATTTGTTTAAATATAAATATAATCAGCAAGGTACAGTTGAAATTTTAGTTTTTTTTTTCTGATGATTGGTTGACGAAAAGTGATGCAATAGGAGGATGCACGATGGTGCGTCTTAAATAACGTATGACTCTTTCCTGTTCGATGCGTTTAAGCAACAACTGTACCTCTGACATTAACAAAATCTATTCAACAAAGATAAAAGAAAGAGACAGAAAATATCTTTGTTTTAACATTTATTCTTAAATTTAAATCTAAATTGTGGAAAATCTGCTTCATTTCTACTCTAAATAAATTTCGGTTAAATGAGAAATTTTCAAATATATAATTGAAAATATACAATATATTAAAAAAATAGACTTTGGTTAAATGAAAAACAAAAAAATATAATTGAAAATGTATATAACATATGAAAATATATAAAAATATTATAATTGAAAACTATATTTGATATTCACATTTAAATTTCCATTATATAAAGTAAGAAGCACTCTGAGAGGCTTTACTGATTATACTATCAGTACCGCCGGCTGAAGATAAATCTTTGCCTGACCAAACAGAAAAGGTGATCGGTTATCCTATGTTTTCAAACAAGCTGTTTTCTAATTTCGAGCATATTTTCTGCCATAAAATTTTTGTTTAAATCATTGAACAGTCAGATTAAAATTTCTCTCACTTCTTTTTAATATAATTTATAGTTTTCAGGTTTCATAAGTCATCGTTCAAAATAAATTGAAACTCTAATATAATGCGGTTAAAAAATTTTTATAGCTTTTCAATCTGAAAAATTTTCACATTTATTTCTTTTTAATACATTTAAGTTATTGCATTTAACATCATTCATATATTTATATTTAATGAATTAGTATTTATCTTTAATTTTATAATTTCTATTGTAAACTAAGTTATAATGAACCAATATGCATAAATATTTCTTCGAAAATGTGACTGTAAAATTTACATTAAGTCACTGTAAATACTGAATGACTGCGGCTATTTTTATTGATACATTTTGACAAATTTGCTATGAGCAACTCGGAAAATTAAGTAAATATATACTCGTTTATCAACACAGAAAATATCAATTGTTTATCAAATTTTGACAATAAACTTTTTTTCTGTAGCAATAATTAACGCACCAATTGTTTTTTAAGTTATAAGTTATTATTTATGCAATGCTAAATTTGGAATGGTGTATCAATTTTTTTATAGCAGCTGAAAAATTTAAAACGGCGAAATGTGTATATTGAATATCATTCACGTATTTATTCACATTTGTCAGCATCAAAAAATAATAGTTCTGGAAATTCCAGTTATTAGACTTTGAACTATAAGTTAAAAAAAAGAACAAAGGAAGATCCGGCGAATAAAAGTACACATTAAGTTTATTAAGTAAATTGAAAAGATGTTAAATTTAAAGTTGATGAATTTGAAAAATGTATAAAATTGTACCATTCCTGAGTTATTACTGTTTGATTTCAAAAATAATTATTATCATATGCATTGCAAAATTCTTTTAAAATGCAGCTTATATAACAGAATTAAGCTGAATAGAAAAATCTCATCAGTCTTCAAGCTCACAGCAAAATCTTCCATTCACTTTCAGAGTTTTGATTTAATCATAAATTGTTTCCTCACAATATATTCGTTTCATGTCGCTTTTTTTGATTTAAGATATGAAAACATGATAAATACCAAACTTCAGGCATACGTTATAGGTGATCCTTTTAATGAATTTAAAGATATTTCCAAATCGAAAACAAAATGAATTTGAAACTTTGAAAGCCCTACGCACTGCAAAACACTGAGATAAATATTTAAAGAAAATTAGTTAAATATGATCATAATGTATATAAATCATTTTCTAAAGTGGTGCAGTAGAACCCACAACCAACATATCCCGATAACTACGCAACAAAAAAAAATGAAAATAACAAATAAACATACCAAAAACCAAAAAAAATATCTCTACAAAAATTAACCAAAACAATAAAATAAGGCAACTTCTGTAAAGTCAAAAACCACAAAACAAAAAAAAAAAGTTATTACCAATTATCCAAAACTATTATCGTTTTGAATTACTTTTAGTAAGTAGAACTATAAGTTTGCTATTGACTCTTCATTTTGCAAATAAGAGTTAGAAAACTGTATTTAAAATTAATTTTATTCTTTATATCAATATTTCATTTGCATCACTTTTTCCTAATTTACAACAGATTACATCGATCATATTACAATAAGAATGTAAAGAAATAAATGTGAAAAGTTACGGCAATAGCACAAATTGTGAGAAAAAGTAGCCTAATGACACAAATTTCTCAATAAATGGACAAACATTTTAAACTAAAACGTCAAATTACGTAAACTGATATTTTAATTTCGCAAAGAATTTACTGATTCAATTTATTTGTCACATAATTTTTTCATCTTCGCAGTTCTTCTTTTAGATTAAACTTTAAAATTTCTGAAGATTTTTATCAAATAAAATGCTATACTTTATATCTAAGTACATGCAAATGTCATTCTCTAAATTCTAAATTCATTTTTAAATTATATTTCTTTGTTAAATATTTTTGTATTGCAGCTTTTCAACTAACGAAAGCAATCTAAATCTATAATTTTTAAGTTAGCCCAAGACACCTGGATAGAGAATGACTGAAGGATTGTGAAATTAAATACCTGTATATGGAATAGATAGATTGGATACACATTATTTGAATTTTGAACAGAAAGTATGAAAAGAGAAAGAGTGATTACAATATTCTGATGAGGTTGTATTTTGAATTATAAATATGAGCTTTTTAAGAAACAACTATCGGACAAAAACACGTGTAAAAGCATTGTCTCACGGAAGGGAAAATTGCAGCTCTTAGAAGATTATTACTAAAAACTATTTCTTCTTGTATTGAAGTATTTATGGTAGAAACTGTCCTCTCTAATCATGGTAAATCAATTTCAGAGAATAGGCTTCTTCCTGAAGATTATTTTCCACATTTGTAACAAATAAAAGCACCTGAAAGCAAAAGAAATTTTTTGAAAAATACTCGAAGTTTGTGAATTTCAACCTGCGAATGATTGATAGGAAGGAGTTACCAAAAATTATGCGAAAAAGATTAAAAAATTAATATTTTAAAATCCATTCGAAAGTTGGAAACCTGTTTTGCTTAAAAAAAACAAATACCTCAGGCAATTTCAAGCTATTATTTAGCAAGAATGTGATAGAAACGTCAACTGCTTTGTAGCCAGAAAGTGTAACGATATCATTTTCAATCCGAACATATTCTGGATGAGAACAAGAAATCCGAAATGAACGTTCCACGCCATATCGATTCCTTATAGCTAATGTCTGGAAAAACAGAAATATGAAACAAATTCATCGAATACCATGTGATAAGACACCATATTAGAAATTAAAATCACAATAAAAATTTTTTGAAGAGAATTTTTTTGGGTGTAGTATGAAATGGAGTCTAAGCCTGTAATAATATAACTTACAATTGTTTGATTCCTTTTATTTTGCAAATAAACTTCAAACATTTTAGTGATATTGGCTTCTTGGATATTTACTGCAATCATCCATTGATACAATAAGTGATTTGTTCGTTGATCAGTTGCCGAAACTAGCATCGCACGAGAACCTTCAAAATTGTGCATTTCATATACCTCTTTTGATACTTTTTTTTACATCACAAATATTTGATAGCAATGTTTTGAATAAGTCACGATCTATAGAATGAATACACTGAAAATGTTTTCTGAAAACAAATTCTGAAGAGTAAGAAAAGAAACCGTCATATAAACAAAGAGATAAGCATCGATACTGCTAAGTACGATCCTTCTATTCATAGAAGTATCGATTCCAAAGTGGATATTCGATGCTACACACAGATCAAATTGATGATATAATTAATCCATTTTATGAAATCAACAATTAATATTTTATCATTCTCCTAAATAGAAATACAACTTAATTTTACAATTAAATCAAAGATTTTGATTTAAGTAAAAGACACATCTCTCAGGTAGAAAGGCATTTTCTGGCAAATAAATGCTACATGAATGTCATTCAAGGTTATTGCAGTATAGATTGCCTTCTCTCATAATAGACATCCTAAATCCTCGATAATTTTGAAAATAAAACGTTCTTATAATACATATATGCACTGTATAATAATGAGAAATTTTTAATTTTTTATATCTGAAAGGCATTTCTCTCAGGTAGAAAGGCATTTTTCTCTATGAGAGCAGCCTTCGATCTTTTCGATCTTTTCACACAGAACGAATTTCTTGATGAGAAAAACAGACATCGTTTGAGGATTCAGGAACTGATAAGATTATCACAGTAAAATCAGTACTGACTGACCTTGAGAAAAGACCGATAAACAAAGTACAGAGATATTAAGGCGTTGGCTAAAAAATTATTCCATATTTCTGTACTTAGAAATACAGCAATTTATATTCCTTCACTAGGGACAAATCCAATCAAAGGAATGTTAACCTGTGAAATCTGGCAAGAAATTAATTACAGCATCTAAGGTGCCACCACGTTGCACTGCAATTGCATCTGATGGATGAATTTCAAAATTTTTTGAAGAACTTCCAAAATGAACCAAACCATCGCAGTTATCATCAATTCTAAAAGCAATTTATAAATGCATATTTTATTTATAAATTCAGAATAAAATCTAAATCCATTATAATCATGAATTGTTTGGATAAATTACAGAAAAAAATTTTAAAAAGGGCAAACAAGGAAATAAGATTTAAATCGAAAATGTTAGAAGGGAAGACTCTGTAGCCCTTAATTAATCAGATCCATAAAATAATTAGCAGCAATAAAATACATGAAACCCCTATTTTTTCATTAAATAAAAAGCATATCATCATTGAAAGAAATGCTTCCTACGACCAAAAAGTAAAGAATTCCAATATTAAAAGTCTTGATTTACTTGAAAATGATGGGAACTTTGAGGAGCTGTGCTCGAACAGCATTCAAATTGATTTGATTCACCGCATGAACGTGTATTAACCATGCTCCGAGAACAGTGCTATAGTACTGATCAGCAAAAAAGATCACTGTGAATGTTCGCAACATTGGTGCTTTACCAGTTTGACACTATAAAAAGTTGCAAATTAATTTCGTAAATGGAATAAATAAAACTTGAAAATTAGTGCTTTCTTATCAAAATAATTGCTGCAGAAAAGCTATTACATACCGTAAAATGTAAATCCTGAGAACCATCGCAATTATTTTTAAATGAGGTAAGTACAAGAGGATCTGTACAACGAATGGAAAACACTCGACCTGAAATAAAACATTTTGGAAACGATAAGTAAAATTATATGAGTTTTCCTTTTTTTTTGCTTTGAAGATAAAATAAATTCAAAAATTGTTTCTATGACTACTTTTATATCCGGTAATGTGAATAATCTTGGACAGTGTTGCTTCCGCTTCATGATAGAAACGAAATGAATTGAAAATTATGTTGTGACGATTTTCGACCAATAAATCTAAGATTGCTATCGGTTCACCACCAGTTTTCTTTTTGAATATTATCTGAAACTTATAGGAAATTCATAAGTGTTCCAAAATGATTCAGGAATTATAATCGCATAAAATATTAAGTCACTGGAGGTCCTTCTGGCAATGTGTGAAATAACTGCCAAGATGGTGCTGAACTGCAAAAAGTAAGAATACAATAATTTCATTTGAAAAATTCTTTGAGATCTAAATTTTTATATACAATTTCACGTTACTTTAACTTGATTTCTGATTTGTTCCTGAGGTATCGTAAATCCATCGTAAATAAATGGTGCACATATAGTTTCCATCGGTTTCAGGAAAATCTGCACTTCGGTAATTTGCTCATTTTCTCTTGATATTTGATAAAGATCCCTTTCAAGTGGAGTTTCAATTCGGTACATATTTTTGTAATATTGCCATAATTTCACATCGAAAAGTGGTCTACAATATTTCGAAAATTACAATATTATAACTGCAAAAAAATGCAAATGGATTTGCTCCAAATCTGTCATGGATAATTTTAAAATATTTTTAAAAATTCATTGGAAATTCTCAATCTTTTTTTAAGAAAGTTGGATACAAAATTAGATTTTGGAGATAAAAGATTGAAAATGTTGTTCAAGCCTCCCTAATTACATAAAGTGCGAATATAGTTACTAAATCCTAAGAAAGCAATATCGATTAAGAATTCAATAAAATTACTTCAATGTACTCTCGGCAATGTCTATAACGATGACAGTTGGGTATGATTCAGTATTTTGAAGCATGTACTCGAAAAATATGACTTGGCCATATTTTGGATAAATGCTATAAAAAACTAAGTGCACTGGAGTAAAATAAATTTAACATTATTTAAACAATTTGATTTCATTTCAAAAAAAGACATCCAAACAATTGAGATTCTATCATACATAATGCACTATCTCTCTGTTAACTATAATTAAATTAGAATTATGATTGTTCTTCGAAGATACGTTTCAATAGGCTAATTCAAACCGATATTCCGTAGTTATTGCTTTGAAAACAACTTTCAGTAGCTTCGATGCCTTGTCTTCATTACGCAATTTTTTATAAGCTTCCAATTCCTGCTGAAACAAATACCGCTTCATTGATCCCTGCAATATTTCTTGCTCTGCGAAATAATATTGGACAGTGTGATTGAAAAGAGTGAATTTGGAAATCGTGTTTGCTGATGAATGCCGTTTTTTTCGATTTTTGGACTTTCTAACAAATCATCCGTTACTTTTCCGAAGTTACAAGGGGAAATAGTTATAAAATGTTAGATAATAATAAGCAATTGCTTGCTATTACTTGACAGTTTATAAACTATTATGTTAGCATTCTTTACAAATCTTTAATGTTGTCATTCATACCTTTGTCGTGAGCGCCTTTATTGCTGAAGTCTGGTTTTTTGTCCCCGTTGGCGGATCGTTCATGATTTCATTATAACGCTGATTTATGTCCAATCTCAAAGAATTCAATTTTTGGGAATAATTATTCAGATTCTTGAGGAGAATTCTTTAATTATTTATTATTTCTGAAAACTTTCGTTCCCACTAATTATTAAAAAATTAAATATTCGTTGTGAATTATTGAAATTAGATATTCATTATGCTCGATAGTAAAAAAGTTAATAGGATTCAATTTTTCTATAGTACGTACGGGTCCCAAGTGTTGGAAATCGAATTATTCACCTTTGAGCAGCCAAGAAATGCTGTAGTGAATTTTCATGGATTGGATTCAGTGGTTTAGCCCTAATTCTGTACGATTCATTTTCACTTTGACCAATTCGAGTTGACTGACGACTCACAATTGTGCTCATTTGATTTCGTACTGAATCTAAACTTGGAGCATGTAGTGGAGTGAAAGAAACAAGTTCTCCTCGCAGACCAAATGTAAACTTGACGAATATATTTTGATGCTTGAAAATGACAAAACATCGTTGTTGTTAGCTTTCTTGTACATTGAATAGAGCGAAGCGAAGCCTGCTGCGATGGCAAACACATTTTGCCTACCAAATAAGTCAGAAGAGTTGAATTTCATACACTAATATACTAATGATGTGAGCCTTTCAAAGAGAAAAAATTTAAAGAACGCGAAAGTTTTCACTTTCATCGATCGCATAGCAATCATTATAAAGATACAGGAAATCAATGAACGAATGCTTATTTATATTCATTACAAATTTTTCTTTTTCATAATTTTTTTTAAACTCTAGCTGTCGAGTTATCTATTCATGAAGCAATTATTATACCTATTTGTTTAAAACATGGATAGCCAATATTGATTAATCGAAGTAATACTTGACATGTTATAATGGATGGTTCAGGAAAACAGCTGAGCACTGCCGCACTTTGTACATCAACCTGCACTGCTTCAGATCCATGCCTCAACAAGGACTGTAAAAAAAAATTCTAAATCTTTATTAGCTGGAAATCTTTGAGTTATAATTTGTCTCATTCGAAAGTTTCATTAGAAAGTGTATTTTCTGGAAATATAATATTAACGATAATTCTCTTGGAAAGTAAAAAATGTTTTTTTTCTGAGCACCCAGCATTTTAATTGAAATATTCGAATAAAACGATAGTATTCTAAATAGTTTGAGTAAACTAACCTTTAGTGGAATGTACAACTTGCCAAGAGGTAATAAACAGTCAGCATCCCATACATCAATAATCGCAAAGCCATTTATAAGATAATTGATATAGTCTTCTCCGTCTCCATCTGGAAGTGAATTCGCATCGACCATATATTTGACCTGAAGTTTCAAATAATAACACCTTTTTGAAATTCATGAATTATTCTCTCTGATTTTCTATAAGCAAAAATAATTATTCACAGTGAAGCCATTGCAGTCTTCCTTAACGGTCTCTTCAGTGTTTCCCTTGCGCTTCAAAATGAATAGCTGTTCTTGAGTTGTTTTTGTGTGAACCTTATCTAACCATAATCTGTAAATTATGATTTGTAATTATTTGAAAGGATAATCTTTACATTTTATGCTCGCTATATTTGCTGTAAATTTTTAATCTCTAAATTTTGATGAACATTTTTAATTAAAAAATTAAATGACAGAACCTTTCAGTTGTAATTGTATGGAAGCGATAGAATTCTATTGTAAAGAATACTGCGTTTGGAGTTTTGATGCAACCAACATCTTCCCTGCTAAAATATTCGGAAAATTTAATACAGCCATGCATAAGAATTGAATTGGCCAACTTTAAATTATCACTATTCAGCTAATAATTAATTTAATGTTAATAAGAACCTGATTTGAATGGCCATAAACTGCACAATGATTTCATTTGTATTTAATTTATCGTTCAGTTCAACATTGATATCTGGAGTCTATAACAAAAGCCAATAGAACCCATTCACACAATTGCAACATTATTATTATATGAATTATTATTTCTTTATAAAGAATGCTTTCTGTTTGCAAATTAAGCATTACTATTCTAGTAAAAAATAAACTTTAAACTCTTCAAAAATTTGATGGAAATATTTCATTAAAGTTTTCACTATAAAAATTCAACAAAACCTACCGGGAAATTTTCAATGTCTAAAAGTTTCGGTTTGTTTCCATTGCGATCTTTTATATGAGTGAATGAAATGTCGGCAAGGATAGCAAGAGATGCACGAGATATATTTGATGTCCTCAAAAATATTACAGCAACAGTTTTAAAAGTTTCTATAAAACTGTAATAAAAAGATTGTAAGCGATAAAAGCTCAATATATCTTACCTAGCTAATGGTGAACTACAAATTTTCACGCTCGTATAAGTGCCACATTTCCGCTCATCATTGGAAGAAATTTTTTCATTCAATTTTTCTTCTTCCTGAATTACATATATAATTCGATCAGCGCTGTTCAATATACCAACAATGCTATGTAAGGTACAAGTGCGCACAAATGGACAATACACTTTGTAGCTGCTGTGAGCAATAAATGTGTCACATTAAACACCCTAGCTATTTTAAAATTACCAAAAAGTTACCAATGATAAGGGTAATAATGACTTGGTTTCGTGCCTGAAATAAGTTGAATTTTTCAATTACACTCTACCTTTTTTCATTTCGAAGGAATAAAAATCACATTTCTCCAGTAAACCATCGACCCAAATATGAATAATGCAGAAAAGAGAAGCGCAAACCTATTTTCGAACATTTTTTTAGGATTTTGAGCATTTTTAGTTGAGCTAAGTTGCAATCCAACAGTTTCCGTATTCAATCTTTTCCAGTTTCGCGTCGGACACGCATTGTTGATGCTGGTTGAAGCATTTAGCAGGTGCTCAATCTGGAATATTTTTGTTTCAGTTAAAGAAACTGCTACAATGTCTATTTTCTCTATTTTCTAGAATTGCTACAAATTATACATTCAAGTTATTAGCAGTTAACGACCAAAAATTCAATAGGTGATAATGATCAATTCAGATGATTAATCGTATAATGTTATGCGAAATTAAAGATGGGTGAAGATACGATTGAATATTAAAATACATTCTTATAAATCTAGAAATCTCAATAAATTACCACTTTGCGCTAAAATACAATCATTTCAACAAAATAATTGAGGAAAAAAGCAAAATACAATTAGCACTTTTTCTAACCTCTCCAAATTCTGAGCACAGAAATGTAATTTTAATCCTTGGAAACTGATCACGAGAGGTCAAATCAGAGTGAAAAGCAAGTGAATTTTTGAAAGCTAAACGTTCATCTGGATTGATGTCTGGTCCTGAACAGATGCTTATTTAAGTTTTTTTCCTTATAAAGAGAAAGACAATTCTTTAGCTGGACAAAAAGAAATAGGAATCAATACTTTATGTGGAAAAAAAAGTATGAAAAAACTTTTACTCATAATTTGCATATTTTGATTTGCACAATAAATGTAATGAATTTGTTATAACAAACGAAAGTACAAAGTAATAAAGATGAAAAAAGAAATACCTCCGATTAAAGGGAGAGTAATCTCATCATTCGGTATGATATCTACAGCAAAAGGACACCAAGCACCCCAACAGACCATAACTGATTGTGATGAATGTACCGTCTTCTGAAAGTGAGATTTACGTAAAGGTGATTAATGAGGTAAACTGGTAAATTATCGTTGGTAGTTTATCAATGAAATTGATTACTAAAATTTATATGAGGTAAA